CCCCTCCCTTCAATTTTAATTCCCCCCCCCCCTCCTCGATATTAGAAGATCCCCCCTGAAGAAAAAGTTTGTCAGACATAATAGAAGACCCCCTTTAATTAATTAATTTTTTGCTAATTACGAACTTTAATTAGCGTTTTTTCATCAAAATATGCCTACTTCTTAGCATTTTAAGCTGGAAATATTAAGAGAATATGTTCACAATTCTAATGACACCCTTAAAACTCTGAAAATCACCTTTGTTTTCCGGAAAACCTTTTAAATTAAATATTAGGAAAAAATGTGGTTCTTTATACAAGACCTCCCTGAAAAGTTTTTACGCTGGAACATAATAGAAGACCCGGGGTCTTTTATGGTGGGGGGGAGGGGGTTACTCACAATTACACTAAACCGCAAAGATGTCGAGATATGGCCTTTCCAATTAAAAACGATTGTTCGTTTTAGCCTTCTACGCACGAATATCAATAAATCTATATTGATGAAACCATCACAAATTTGTAGTAAAATTCAAATACAATTGAAATTACTAACAAATCGTCAGTAAAACTTTCTATTGAATGTGTATCGAATTAATTTTATACCAAGATAGTGATAAAAGTCTGCTTGTATATTCATAAGCAACCGACAATAGTTGAATGCTCAAACGATCGGCTATCTTGTGAATGTCTTTCCTACTGTAGTACATCAATTGTTATTTTCTAATCGATAAACTACATTCATCAGTAATAAAGAATATACAGCGTAAATAAGTATAAAATATTTGAATTTAAGATAATATTTTGTTATATGCATATTCTCGGAAGTATCATTAGAGTTCATCGAGTTCTACAATAATCATACTCTTCAAAATAGACAATCATATTCTGTATCGAACATAATTTACAAGAGTAGATCGATTTTCCTTCAATAAAGTCGCTGTTAATAAATGAAACTTTGAACAGCCAATTATTATGTTTGAAAATCCATAATTTTAACTCTTTTCCATAATGAAATTTATTTCATTAAAATCAAGTTCAAATTATCTCAAATGTTCAATGGAGTATCACGTTCCAAAAATAAACTTGTTTTGATTTCTACTGTCGAGCATTCTTTTCATACATCTTAGCATATATTATCAATAGAAATGCTATTATTTGGTTTTCTTTTAATAATTCTATTAGTCGAGGTTTTGCTGCAAATCCAATACATTCAAATCAAGGATCTCAACAAGATACAATGTGTCAGTATGATATTGGATTTGAACAACCAAATTCATCAACCGGTATAAGAAATCGTTTAACAATGAATAATCGTCCATCTACAGATCATCTTGCAAACAGTTCATCGCTGCTCCATTCATATTCAACTAATGGTATCATTGATGCATATCGAAATTCAACAGTTTTTACTCGTCCAAATACGAATGATCCACTTGATAATTTACCATCGAAACAAATACAATCATTATTTGATGGTAATGCTGATCGTCAGATTTCTACGAATGATTCTTTGTCTGATGATCAACTACAACAATCTGATGGAAATTCTCAAGTGATAAATTCATCAAACGATGATCGTCAATCAGTGTCGTCAGTAGGAAAACCACGAAAACAGATAATAGCAACGAAATTTTTTAAGCCATTTCAAAATATACGTTTTCGAAAGAAAATTGGCACTTCATGAGAATAGCATTGTTTTCACATAGCCGGTGCTTGTTTATCAATCTCAATTTTTCTTCTTTTTCGTTTTTTTTAATTGTTCCAATTCTTCTTAATACATTTATTCTCGTTTATGTCTTTTGCTTGTATAATTTTTATTTGTCTGGTAAAATGTTTTTTCTTATTGTTGTTGTTGTTTATGATAATACGAAATGAATAGAGAGAATACTCATCGGTAGAATTATATTCATCTTTGATATTTATTTGACTTTTGTTTTTGTCTAATAGATTCAGATGACGTTGAAATTAAGTAGACGCTTTATCAGTCAATTGTTTATACGACGTTTTGCTTCTAATGACTCGTCGTTAACAACAATTGATTCAAATAAAGAATTAACAATAAAAAAGCCATCAGAAATAGCTGCACCAAAACGTGCTTTTACATTAATCAATCAAAAAACAGTTCATCAAATAAAACGCATTGATGATGCTCGAATACATAATGAAATCGATTTTATTCGACAACGACTAACAGAGAAACGTAAGTAACTTTGACATAAACCAAAATACCATTGTTCTCAATTAAATATCGTGTCAAATGAATACGGTTCTAGTACTATATAGGATTTGATCTCATATCTTAAAGGTTCCAAATAGGATTTAGATGCTTTTATTGTTATCAAAATACAGTTATATTTATTTTAAAATTACTGAATAAATTGATCTGTTTATTCGACTATTTCGTTTGTGAAATCGTTGATGCAGCAGAGCAAATGGTTCCACTATTCGGCAAATAATCATTTGTGTATGATTTAGTCAATACTAGTCGTTTCGTACGGACGATTCTATAATACTCATAATGAAAATTTATTAAAAGTCAAATACAATTGATTGAACCACTTTTAATTAGGCTAACATCAACCAAAATATGTATTGTTTGTAAATATCTTGTCTACATTTATTTTCTCTACGTTTCATTTGGAAATCTCATAAAACAAAGAAAATATTTTTCAAAAGTAATTAAAATATTTTAGCCAGTGCCGCCGATCACTGCACTGATTGAGATTTCGTTTTTTTTATTAGTTTTCCTATTTCTTGGAAATTTTGTTTTAGTCTTTGTGAGATAATTCATATCTTGCTGTATGATTTTCAAAAAAATACTAAACTGATTGACCCACGGTAATGCCAAATATTATTGCATGGCATTCATATGATTGAATATGTAAATATGAGTTTTAGGATAAAATTTTCGATATTTAATCTTGAGAGTTGAATCAGTTATTTATATTAACTCTATAAAAACTGAACTTTGGAATCATTTTATATAAATGTATGCATGTTTCATTTTTTTAGGGGTGAAAAATATTCCTATCGAAACAGATGTTCTTATTATTGGCGTAAATATATAAACATATTTTCTTTTCATAGCAGTTTTGACATAATGTTTAAAATATAGGGTGCTATCAAAGGTTCTTCTATAGCATTTTTTCTTAAACAACGTGCACCTGATCTCAAAGTAACTGTCCTGGAACGGGATTGGAACGTAAGAGAAAAGGAAATGAAATATTTCTTTCTATTTAATATTCATAATTTTAGTATACAACTTCAAGCACTGTTCTTTCTGCTGGTGGTTTACGCCAACAATTTGCACTTGTAATAATTGATTGGATAATGACTGAATCTTGAATAAAAAAAAAAAATTTTTATTTCATAGGAAGAAAATATTCAAATGTCTATGTACTGTGCTGAATTTTTGAAGCATATTCGTGATCATTTATCTATACTCGGTAAAATCGGATTTATAGCTTTGTTGTTATTATTATTATTTTCAATTTAGATGATGACCCAGTACCTGTTTCCTTCCAACATAATGGCTATTTATTGTGTGGAAGTGAACAGAGTGTTAAACTTTTTGAAGAAAATCATCAAACACAAACGTAAGAACACGCACTCATGTATTCGTTTCTCATTCTTTCTTTGCCTTATTGATAGTAGCTGTTCATTTAAATGAGAGAAAAAAAGCTAAAATTTTTTTCACCAGAGCTTAATAATGATGTTTTACTTGTATTAGAGAGAAAACGAACGAATAGGGGAGCATCCGGCATTATTTTTACCCAATTTTACATAATACCTTGTAAACGTGCAGCTTCATTAGTATTTGTAATTTCGACATTTTTTTAGCTGTGCCACATTGATATATATATCCTATTCATAGTTTAGTTCATTAGGAGCAAAATCAAAACTATTGACATCAACTATGCTTAAAAAACAATTTCCTTGGTTGAACACAGATGGTATCGCAATTGGCTGTTTAGGTAAAAGAAAAATTTCGATTTATCGTTCGATTCATTCAGATTAATTTTCTTATAGGTGTGCAAAACGAAGGCTGGCTAGATCCATGGGCATTGTTGACTGCTTTTCGACAAAAAGCACTATCACTTGGTGTTCTATACCTTAATGGTTTGCTTATAGAAATAAATTATTGAGAATAATTTTAATTTTATATTCGTTTGATAATTTGTTTTTGTTTCTTGATAATATCTAGCGGAACTTGTTGGGTTTGATAAAGCAAAAAGAGTATGGGCTGATGGAACCGTAGAAAACCAATTGGATAAAGCTCTAGTAAGTTAAATTTTACATTGATGTAACAGCTTGTGGGAATGATTTAAAATCTTTTTACATGGCGCTCATTATTGAACTCAAATCCAAGAAGTGCTCTGAATACGGAGTAGGTTTTCAGTTGAAGAAGACTGTATAGAAATTATATTTTAAAAATATTCTTCTAATGAGAGTAAAATTCTGAATAAAATGAAGTGTTTCAAAGCTTTTGTACTATCTTCTATGAATAATTTATAGCCAACACAAAAGATTTGTAGTTTTTCGAGCAATGTCATGATTACAAATTGTTCAAAAGCACTTGATAGATACCATGTTTGTTTTGAAAGATTATTTTTACATATTCTTCTGAATTCTAAAAACAACCCATTCAAATAATCAAATCCATGAAAAATTTATAGAGCATTATTTTAAAAAATACGCTATTCTTCTCTTTTTGATCACTTCTCTGTCATTAATTATCATCAAAATATGATAGACTAATAGAATATAAAATTTTTCGTTTTATAATTTTATCATGTTTGATTTTTCTATGAGTAATTAAGAAAATATTTCTGAATCTGATTGTTCATCAGAAAACAGATATTGATGTTCATAAAAACTTTATTTTTAAGATTGATTTGCAGAAAATCTAAATCACCACTTCGAGTAGAAATTTTGCCTCTGAATCTGTACGATCTATATTGATTTTGGTAAGGAGTTTCTTACAGAAAATTTTTATGAAATCAGAACAGATTCAATTATATTATAAATCCAACACTAAATGAAAGTACATCTTTACTGATGAGATAACTGAATAATGACTTGGAAAATTTATCTCTAATGATTATAGAAAAAATTTAAATTAGCTAATATTTATTTATGTTACAATTCTCTTAGTTTTAATCGAATACAGGGATAACTTAAAATTTCGTAAATTAATTCATACTAAGACAATCAATAAGTTTGCAACTTTCGATCATATGAGTATAATGTCATGAATTCAAAACAGTGACTGTTCTTGATGCAATCAATTATCTGTGGTATTAGTTCCAAGTGATCATCATGAATAATGACTCATTACATTTTTATTTATTTGAATCAAAATGATGTTGTTTAGATTCTATCTGCTGAAGATAATCAAATATATCCATTGGATACAGCATTTGTTATAAATGCTGCTGGTCCTTGGGCAGGTGAAGTATCAAAAATGGCTGGTATTGGTGCTAGTGATGAATATCCAGTGGCATTACCCGTAGAACCACGGTAATAAAAACTCGCTTTTATTTACATTTTATTCTTTCAGTAAAATAATAATTCTATTCCTCGTCCGCATTTTCAGTCATACTCTCATTGAGATAACTATTTGTGATTTGATCGTTATTTTCATCGTCCGATGGTAGAATTTTTGATAGTTTCGTGATAGCTTGTCGTTCAACAAGCCATTTCCAAAATGGTGAACTATCTGTATTGTCCATAGTAAAACCAAAACGCTGAAAAAAGCTTTGTGTTTGTTGTCCGGTTATATGTACGGTTAATATATTAGCACCAGCTTGTCGTGCTAAATGTTCAACACATTCTAGCATAGCAGAGCCAATACCATGATTTCGATAGGCATTTTTAACACCGATCATTTCAATGTAACATTCTTCGATGTTTGATGGAACATAATTTGCTTTACGTACCATCCAACGATGTACTGGTGTTAAACAGGAGCTTCGTGGTTGACTATCTGATGTTTGTGGAATAGTTGGTGTTTCTTTCGGAAATAGCATTGTTACTGCAGCTAAGACTTCACCATTTATTTTGCCGAGTAGAACATTTTGATATTCACTTGCATTTGGAGTTGAATCTAATAATAAAGAGGCAGAAAGAAAGAAAGAAAGAAAGAAAAATAATCATTTTTCGCTCAAGTATCATTGTAGAATTTTACTTATTCGAGCTTTCATTGCTGTACGAAACTGTTGTAATTCTTCATTTTCTCCAATATAACGTCTTAAACGAGTATTAAGCGTTTCGAAATAAATATCAAGATAAGCATCTATATCAGCTGAACTAAACTGATGAATTTCAATAACATCATTATCACCACCTGTTGTAAATGATGAAACCATTGTATTATCACGGTCAGTCATGGATTGACTCAATGATTGCGAAACAACATGCCTGTCACGTTCTTCGTCATCATCTTCGTCTGCAACATTAGCTACTTCATATTCATTGAATTTTCTTGTTCGATCAAGATTTGGTAAATCTGATTGTGTTTGATTATTTCTGAAATTAGAATTTATTGTTGATGATGATGTGAACACATTTGCATTTTCCATTGCACCATTTATATCAGCTGAAGTAATTATAGTTCGTTTATTGCGTTTTTTTGATTTAACTGGTGTACTATTATCATCAACGGTACTTTTTGCACTAATTATTGTTGTAGAAGATTCGCCTGCATCCATCAGTTACAATTCATTGAAATTAAAAATTGATTAAAACGACAAATAGCTCTGAAAAAGCAATCTTCTCCTTGCTTTCAATCGGCTGAAGGACTGCTATTGATATATAGAAGAAAAAATAATACATGCAACAAGCGAAAGTAGGATCATTGAAGCGTTACATTATTTCTCTGACTACACCACACCATTTTGTCGAACGTCATAAGAAAAAAGGGCGATGACACTGATTAATTTATTCTTTTTTTCTTTCTTTTTGTCTGATGGATGCAACTAGTTGTTTCTTGAATATGTAACATATTTTCATAAAAATAAAAATGTAAGAGACGCTATACATTACATCTAGGTTGTTGATTTTTGTTCAATAAACTTGAAGTTAAATAATTGAACACAACTGATGTGCAGCATATCGATACGCATATGTTTAAATTTATTTATAATTGAAACGTTCGAGGAATTTATCGATCTCTCTTTGATATTTATTTTATTAATTTAGAAAACGTTATATATTTGTATTTGAATCATTGAATGGGCCTGGCCCATTAGCTCCATTATTTGTTGATATAACTGGTGTTTATTTTCGACCTGAAGGCTTAGGCAATACATATATCTGTGGATGTAGTCCGAATGAAGTAAAACAAAAAACAATCTAATAGTTTTTTCTTCGAATGAACTATATTTTTGAATTCTAGGAAAATGATAAATCAGAAGATAATTTAGCCGTTGATTATTCGGTATTTGAAGAACAAATCTGGCCAGCACTAGCTAAACGTATACCAAGTTTTGAAAGTTTAAAGGTAAGGAGAGAAATATTTGTCTTTGCCTTGTACAAGGAAATAATTTTTAAAATTATCTTTACGCTAGAGGACATTAGTGTCTTGTATCTGAGGCAACTTATTGTCTTATGAATATAACGACTTATGTATCACTAATGTGCTTTGGTTCAATTTTATATTTTTTCTACAACCTGATACAATTTATACACTCAACTAATGTTTCTTGCTGAGCGGTTAAGATATGAAATTAAAAGATTGAAACATAGAGATGATGACAGTAAAAATAGACTTAAAATAAAATTTTCATATAGACAATTAGTATAAAACATTAGATGAATTTCAAAATTGCACCATTTATATCCTTTAAATACATATAGAAGAATGAAGTATACAATCGAAAAAAAATAGATAATATAATATTGTCGGCGATAGATTGTTGCTTCTGAAATCAATCGTCTCTGAATAGGCGAGACACTTTTTCGAATCATAACGGAACTCTGGTAGTATTGAATATGATTCATTAAAGTTTTTTCTTTTGGTTTTATCTAAAGTTTTTCAACACTATTCTAAATATATTTTGGAATGAACTTATTCTGCATCATTTCATATTCAATCTTTCCGAGATAGAATAAGGAACTGATTTATGTATTCTAATTAGACGTTATTGAGATATGATCCTTGATCAAATATCAACAATGACTGTCACATTCTCTAATGTTATGTCATTAATGTCAATGAAATATCTCAAGGTTACCAAGGTTTACTGAAAGTTAATCATTGATTTAAAGATTAGTTAAAAGATGAAAACGAAATTGTTCAATTTCTCTGAGAAAAATAGAGAACTATCAAACACTAGAAGGTGATACTCTGCACATAGTATTATTGCGTATATTTTATAGCTTGCAGAACGCATTCTAATTGTAACGGTTCTATACATATACATAAGCAATCCTTTTATACTCATGAAATTTCAGTGGCTATTAAAATTACTATGTCGATTTAAACTGAGCCATTAACATAACATTTTTTTATATGCTGTTGTACAAGTGTTTTGCACCGCCGCCTTTTATAAATAGTAGAAACTGCAATGTCCGAAAAAATTTCAATACTATATATGATGTTAAAATCGAAAGTAAGATCTCATAAAAATTATTTCTAAATGTTTTAGCTCAAAAATGCCTGGTGTGGTTTTTATGATTACAACTATTTTGATCAAAAGTAAATGAAAACATAAAACTAATCTGAATAAAATGAATTGATCCTTTAGTCTGATCATTGGTCCACATCCACAACAGAAAAATTTTATTTTTGCAAATGGTTCAAGTGGACATGGTCTACAACATGCACCTGCTATTGGTCGTGCAATATCCGAATATATAACTGATTTTCAATATAAATCAATTGATTTAACTCGTTTCGGTTTTCAACGTGTCATTAATAATACTCCTATATTTGAACCGATGATTGTTTAAATATAAATGAAATCAAACAAACATGAACATGTATAAAGACAGCGTAACACTCGAAAACATCGTTTCATATTTTTCTTTAAAATGAATATCATTGCACAAAAAACAAAGAAGAAATAAAATTTTCCATTTGTCTAATAGTATTTAAACAATACAACAATGAAGTTTTATACAAAACAAAAAACAATGAATAATGTTAAAACAATCACCACATAGTGTCAATACAGAATATAAAAAAAAACAAATAAGCTAAAAATAACCCTTTTCCCCGCTTATTGTTGAAAAGAAAAACAGATGAGAATTTTATCAGCTAAATTAATTGGCTAGTCGTTGTTGTCGTTGCACTTGACACAACTTCCATCCATCTGTATGGGAAGAAAAAAATAATAAAGATCTTAACAAAGAAGAACTAAACGAAACATTTACCGATCAAAGGCATATTGACTTTCGGCTCGAAAAAAATAGACATGATTTTTAAATTGTAATTTAAATACGAAATCTTTATTAACACAATCAATTTCTGATGGCAATGAACTACGATAACCAAGCAATGGCAATGATGCCAGTGGAAAATCATCCTTAATTTAATAAAATTATAGAAGAATAAGAAAGGAGATGCTCCCAGATGATTTACTTGAAAAGTTTTATAAAAGAATAAACAAAAATTTGTAAAAACAACCCATAACTTCTGCCAACCATTTGAATTTTTAAATTTACGCAATAAATAGCCACTCAGTTGATTTTTAATTGCTTGCCGATGATCGTTTATTGATACAGATAAATTTCGATGCCAACATACATGCATTGTTGTATCAGTACGATGTTGACAACTCGAACGATCCATTTGGTTAGGATCATCATCATCGAGTGTACCAACTAGAGAATGTTCCAGATTTTCAGATGATGCTAAACAATATTAAAAAATAAAATCTTATAATTTTTTCTAATCACTTTTTACCATTCGATTTGATTGTAGCTGTATATTGATTTTTCTGATCCTCATTATTCAATTTGACGCTGGCAATAGCTGACTTTAAATCATACAGCCATTTATTCTTTTCGGTTTCCGAACTAGAAGAAAGAAGAAGAATAAAATAAACGCAAGATTTTTTTTCTAATGTAAACGTAATGATTTGATCAGTCATTGAGCATAACTAGACATGATAGATCGTTTCATTCATTTAGATCTTTAAGATTTACTAGATGAAAGTTACGGTTGAATCGAACGAACTCATACTTATCTAAAGCCGGCTTATACAAAAAAACACAAATTTTCTTCAAAACATTCAATCGATGATCTATATCCATCCGCTTGTGCTAAGCCAATCGATATTAGCGAGAGATCGCTCGGTCATATTAAGAATAAAAAAGATGCAATATCAACTGTAGAAGATTTATTTTCCTTTTTGCTTAAATAGTTATCGGAGCTAAAAATTCAACATAATATAAACTTCAGCAATCAAGCAAATAGTCGACGCTGTATGCAGCTACTGAATTATTTCTGTATTCAAATCAGATAACAAATATGTTCCTATGGCTACTTTTAATTTGAATAAAATCTCTATCCAAGGCTATATGTAAGCCAGTTGATTCTAAAAATGATCTAATAAAATACCTTGCTGCTACCAGTAATGAGCGATTGCCAGCATAGATACTAATGGAATTTGGAACTTGAATGCGTTCATCAGTATCTTCAACCTAGAAGATAAGAACTATTACATTTAAAATAGAAAACATGAGAAAATACGAACTGTCATTGATTTCAATGGAAGTTCTCCGTGTAATTTAAATTTAAGTACTGGACTGGAACTACGTGCACAATAAAGTAAAACATCAGAAAACTAGATGAAAATTATCATTTTTAAATCATTTAAATATAATAATTAATTTACTAGAAAAAACATTCGTTGTTGATAGCCTTTTCTTGATAGTTTTTGAAGGCAACCTTCACGTATGAATAACTGAAAAATAAAAGTTTAAATTACATTTATTTCTCAAGGTAAACATTTATTATCTTACGCGATCATATTGATTTGAAAGATTTTCAACACCGATCAGATCACGTTGAAATTCAATCAATTTTTGTCGATTTAACTAATAGAAAAATAATATTTTCTCTAAAAAAACCTCGTACTTTTCGTTAAAATGAGATTTAAAACGCTTGTTTTTACACTAATCATGAATAAATATTAAAAGCGAATTGTTTTGTTAGCAAAATTCATAGACTGTAAGAGTCTTGAAAATTTCTCTATTTCTTTCAATCGTAGTAGGTAGGTTGGTTGTAAGATGTTCGAATTTCTATTTTTTTTATTCTCGTGAAACTAAACGAATTATAATTGATTTCTTTTATTTGAACCTGAATGGAAGAGACATAAATGACTTTGATATTTGAAGGAAATATTCAATATGGTGCACAAGTTTCGAACAGCTAATAATGAACATGCCAAAAACAGAAGAGTTGTCAAAAAGAAATGGCATTATTAATTATAGTCATGGTAATAATTGGTATACTTTCGAATGGTTCAAACAAGTTATTTCTTTCTTATAGTCAAATTTAGTTTTACTTTAATTTACATCTGGTCGACTTTCTGTTCGAATCTATAGATCAAAAATTCATAGAAAGATACAAGTTTACTTGTGGACAATGTCAGTAATTGTCTTCAGTTACTATATCAAATATCTATACCGAAATGATAGAATGAATCAGGATCTTTGCTTAATAATATTGCTTACTTCATTTCTTTATGAATATACAGAAGACAATGTGCCTATTCTGAAATTCTACAATCGTGATACACAACTAATATTCATATATTTCAACATTCTAAACAGTTCTATCACTTATAGGATAACTACAAAAAATAACAGGCGACACTGTTAATAGTTATTATATTTTTGCATATTGAGAACATATCAAAAAGAAACTTATTTATACTAATTAGAATCTAGCGGGCATGATAAAATTGCAACAAATATTTGAAATAATCGTCAAAATCTATGTAAAAACTGATTTATTTGGATAAATGAAAAAACGAATCATCATGTTAGTGAGAGTAGTCAAAAAACGTGGGAACTTTGGTTTTTCGATAGATAAAACTTTATCAGAGTAAATAGAATGTGCAATACAAGTGTAAAAACTTGAACTATCATAGACTATGACCAAAATTGTCAATTTACAATCAAATACTTTATATCAATCACATCTCACTATTAAGTAAGTAGTACTTTCTAATCATTAATATTATATAAAAAAATTCTTAAAATAGCTTTTAGAAAGATGGTAAGGCTATGATCATCGACTAGTTGTTAAGATAACCGAAAAATCATCAACTGGAAAGTTTAAACATATATTATTTTCTATATCCCATGAGAATAGTTTTCTAACCGTTCTCTAGTATCGATTCGGTGTTACTTTCTTTGAATCTATTAAACAAAATCCATAGACACAACATTAACTATTACGTGAAATGCTATTCCTAATATCATAAAAAAAACAATACTTTTTCGTATGTCTTATGTTAGTTCTATAGAATAGACAAATTATCATACTATTATTGTTAATGAATCAGTAAAATTTTCGATCAGATCTTGAATTTTAATAAAAACTCCATAACAATCTTGATATTCACTTTCATGAGTATGATTTTTATAACAAATAAGTAATTCTAAAATATGCATATATGAAATAATGTATGTACAAGTAATAAACAAAAAAAACATCATACTTTCAAGTAAATATTCATAATGTAATAGTCGTTGTAGTGGCTTAGTTAAAAATGATATTAAGGATAAATAACACAGTTTTTCTGATTCAAATTCTTTGTAAATCATATCAAAACGTCGATTATGTTTAAGAACATATTCAAGTTCTGTTAATAAACAATCATAATTTTCAATATAAAGTTCATATCTCTATTTAAAACAAAAAATCAGTTAGAAAAAAATACGTGTACAAGATTCCTAAATTTACCGGTAAAATCTCAACTAAATTCATAATTAAATCTCCAATATTTGAATTGATCTTCTCAGAATTATAATAATCATTGCCCGGTACGGATCGAGTTTCCCTAAAAATAAGTTTTTTCAACACATGTTATATAGAATTCATTGTATTTTTAGTACCAAATCGCCATTCTTTGTTCAAGTTGTCGAAGAAAATGTAAATGAAATTTGTAAACAGGTAATAAATGTGTAAATAAAATATCAGACAAATGAATTAATGTTTCATTTTCAAAATTATATTCTTCGTCCATATATAAATCTTGTTGCTGATTCAGAACAAGCATTATTTCACGACGAAAATTTTCAGCAATAACTCCCATATCGTTTCTATATGTTCGTTCAGTCATTAATAACTCTTTACAAATATAAAATGATCGATCATGAATAGGCGATATTATCATTGTTGATGAAACAGTTGTTGGAAGTATTATTGATGATGATGATGAAGGAATAGTGCCAACTGCTAACTAGACGTTTTAGTTTTATTGTATAAATGAGGTAGTATAATGAAAAGAAAATCTTACTGGAATGCCTGCAAACGGAGGACTCATTGCATAAGATGCTGATGAAATTAGTCGGGATGCTAAATGAAAATCATTTTTGAAACTTTTTATTCACAAGTTGACTAGTCAGAGAAGGAGTGACGAGACAAAGTTTCATCCCATTTTTTTCCTCCTATATTTTTGGTACTATTACATATCTAGAGCTAATTGAACAAAATAGATTCAAAATATTCCTTGTATATGAATTTAAGAATACTAATCAATCAGAGATAATAAAGTGAATATTTCACGAGGAAGCATTGTTGGAAAAATGACACTTCATGTCACCTTTTTTTTACGATCTACTGGCATGAAAAAAAAGACATGGTGTTCGGAACGGAGTTCGTAAATGAATTACAACAAAAATACAGGGTACTCGAAGTGAACCCTGTGGAAGAGTTCGGAATCAATTCTGGCAATAGCTTTTTCATAGGATATAACCATTGAAAAAGCTATTTTCAGAATTAATTCTGAACTCTATGTAAATTTTTCTCTTTACGAACATCATAATTTGACTGGAGATCGTAATCAGAATGTCCGGATGTTCGTAATGACGAAGACATGAAAGCTGTAATAAAAAAAGACGCCACGATTTTTGCAAGTATGTTCAGGTTTTGTTTCCCCTGTGAGAAAATATGAAGCGATACGCTATAGGCGTAACCTAAAATCACGTATAGTCAACGTTTCGGCGAATTCAAGCAACTACGATTGCACTTCTGTTTACTACAATAACTCTAGTATTAGTTATTATTCTCCTTATTCCTTCAATACTTTCTGTTACAAGATACTAGCTTTATTCAAAGAAAATAAATACACATATATTCATGACTCTAGTGTTAATGTACACCATCATTCTATTTATTCTTCGATGAATGTACACGTTTTTTGAACCTGACTATTTGTTTATTTTTCGATGTTGGAGCAATGAGATCAGATTGAGATGATAATGTGCAAGATGAAGACGAAGAAGCAGTACTATGATCGCTGAATCTAACTCTAAGACGATTCAATATTGGAGTTGAACGTAAATAAGATTTAGGAGCAACCTGCTCAGTTGTTGCTTTCGCCAACTGTTGGTTTTTAATCAAATGATACCCTTAGAAACAACTTCTGAGATTATAGCACAAGGAGTATCGGTAAAGAAAGATTAATCATCTATTTATATAATCATGGATGTAATAAAAAATGCAACCTATTATTGCCTATAAGAGCAGAAAGTCTATATCAATTACAGTATCCTTATAAGTTCTTTTACGGACTCCACGTTTGAGTACCCTTATAATTTTCTTCCGAACTATCGAGGGTGTTTATTACGATCTTCAGGTGTTGCATTAAATATAGCAAAAATACTCTATTCCGAACATCCGGCAAACACATTACGATCTGCCTGCTGTCTATTACGATCTCCAGTACATAGGTGTTTATGAACTCCCGTCATAAATTAAATTTTTACGAATAAAATTATTTCCGAACACCCGGTACACATACCAGTGTTCGGAAGAGATGAGACGAAACGTACGTCACCCACATTGCTCTCGTGTCATCTTTCCATTTCATTTCTTGATTGCTCATAGGCATGGCATCAACGTTAAATAAAACTCAAAAAATGTGTCGGTTATTATTGCTATTTAGCTAAGTCGTCAAGCCGTCTATTAGTGTTTTTTTTATAGAAGTTCCTCGGTTTTCTCAAAGCTCCACTATTCAAGTTTTAATCGGTATAATAGAAAGTAATCTAGTCAGGAGTTTTAAACAAACCTATTTCAGAACATGACATCTTAAAAGAATAGATGTTCATGAATATTTTTTTGCATAAAATTCAGTCTAACTAAGTTCAATATAGAGGCAAACTTTAAAATAGACAGTTAAAAATATGAGTTTTCCGAAAATCGATTTTACGTAAAACTAAAATATTTATTTGGTTCTTTGTTCTAGACATACGTGATTGTTGACCTATAAGAGCGGCTCTTGATTCATTTGTATTGATAGGTACGGTTGGTGATCGAGATTCATGAATAATTGGTATAATTCGAGTCTATAATGAAGCAAAAACTATCAAGTTGTTCTTTTTCTTCTCGAATATTTTTAATCATTTACCTTATTATTATCGATAACTATTTCTTCAATTTTGTTTGCTGATTGTGTCGAAATATGTGAAGATGATACAGATAGAAGCACATTGTCATCCACGGAAGACCTTAAAAGAAATAAGTTGTATTTCTATCAATCAATTTGCGAATCGTTTAAGCCATATACAACAAAAGACATCATTTTATTGAGTTTGACGTGTACTTATCAAAGTACATAAGATCCTAAAAGATTATATCAATATCGGTTAGATTCTCTAACAGAAACACTCATGTGCAAAACTTATTTATTGTACGATAAATTCTTAAATATTTCTGAAAATATTGATCGACATACTTTTTGTAAGGTTCTCTCTGGGATATTCACATTTTAGTAAAGATGTAACTGTTTAATACTTCAGAATTCTCTTATGTAATCCATTAGGAAATATTCTCGTCTATGTATAAGTATTTACGTTTTAGTTGGACTTTGAGTATCAGTATTGTTATGATTTATAAGTGTTGTTGGTTTGCCAACACTTGACCGATGTGTTGTTGTTGAAGCTACTTGTTGCTCACTTGTTGATGATTTTCTTATTGGTGTACTACTTGTCATAGATGGTACTGGTCGATGGTTATTAATAAATCCACTGATCTGTTGGCGATGTTGTTGTGATTTCGGTAGACTTGTTGATATCGACAAAGAAGTTACTGAATCTTCTGTAATAAAAGTAATAGAAAAATGATGAATACAATTTTATTTATTTATAGTGTAGTGCAAGACATAGAAGACATTGATCGCATGTAAATATAGATCCATAAAAAATATGCGTACTATTCACAGTGACGAATTGAATCGACTCATCATAGAAAAAGAAATTTCTCACTGCTATCAATAAATGTGCCGTCTATTTCGGATGCTGTAATGAAACATACGAAAAAAGATGAATAAAAATAACGGAATCCATTCTTATAGAAGACTACATCATATAAAAAAAACAGTATATTCATTTGTTATCTTTTTTCTCATCAATCTGTAGTTTAAAAGTATTGACGGGAAGATATACAAGCTCAATTGTATGGCACAAAACAAAGAACAAGGAGCATATTTATTTTAATGATTAAATTAGTTTGTTGGAAAAAATATATGGAGTTCATTGATAGAATGACGCGTGTCGCGTCTATACGTATTTGAAAATTTTGCCTTCTCGTGCGCTATTCACATATTCGTACTTGTCAGTAATACGGGTCGATAGAAACTGCTTGAAAGATACAAATAATTTGTAATAAAGAACACAGCTAATTTACGCAATTTATCAACCTAATTAATAACTCTTGCCATGACTAAAGTTGCTTTGACAAGCACCGTGAGGTTTTTCGAATGAGTTTTATTAGAAACAAAAATAAACATTTTTAAGAGTGATTGTTGAAGAGAATACCTATCTATGCACTAAAATATTGATTAATGTATTCCATAATGTACGATTTTGAAAATGATCAAAATAGTATGTTGTACGATGTATTTTTTTCTTACAAGATGATGTATTCGTTATGTCAAATTCATATTTCGTAGGAGTTGCTTATTAATTCTATGGCCAATATTATGTAAAATAGAATCTATATCGTATTGAAAAACTAGTTATCTTGTAAGAATAAATGATATATAATGGATTGCATGTGCTAGATTTTCTTTTTTCGATACTGATCATCTTAATATTCGCAAATGTCTCTTTTAAACAATAATGAACTCTTTCTTCTGTCCTATGTTTGCCAATAGAGCTAATCATTTATCAAACTAATGTGATTAAATGATCAACGGGTTCTTTTCAATAGGACAGAAAAAAAATTAATTAAATTAATATTAATTACATTTTGAGTAGAGCATGTAACATGCTTTTCTGCTATTATATTATTATATGAATATTGCGCACACGAGTTCTATATAATTTTCAGATGATACGGAAACGATATAAATATTCTAGTATCCAAACATGTATTAGTTGACATTGAATGACTAATTTAAATTCGAGCTTTCCTTACATATTCAGAGCTCCAGATGTATTTTAGAGGCTATAGATTGCTTTACATAAACGAACAGTTGAGTTATATAGTAATGCATGTGTTGTATTCATCAATCTCACACATGTACAAATTCTTGACATTATCAACTAAGACAAAATAATAAATAAATGAGGAAACATTGGATTCGCATCCAATTGTTACGTGTACTGCAAAAACTGAGTCGATTTATATATGTTGTGAACAATTCTAAGAAAAAAATTTTTTTTGGAAAAACCCTGTACCCCTCCCTCACGGATGGTTTGGTCAATAATGAGAATTTTTTCGATAACTCAGCCATTTCTTGATAGATCCTTCTCATTTTCGAGCTCGACTGAGATATTGATGAGATCATTCTGTGTAAAAAATTTCAAGACAATTGGATGAGGCTTTCAAGAGTTATCGTGTTAGCGACCGGACACACTGACCGAATCTAGTGTACTCACTTTTTGAGTACACAAAAAGATGTAGTTCTCATAAGAAAACAATATTTCTTATCATTCAAGATGACTCAATTGAATTATTTATTTGGACTTAGTTTTATTCTTTCTATTAGAGTTATTACTATTTGATTTGTGAATTTTTAATTCCTAGTACACGTTTTGTTTTTAATAAAAAATAAATTGAAAAGCGCATATTATATCCATGAAGAAGTCCCTTCAAACATTATGCACCTTTATTCCCAAGTCACAAGATATAACAGTATTCTTACTGTTAGCTTAAGATTTAGATAAAAATATATTCGTAATCTATATATTTCCCTTCTTAGTCATGGATCAGCTTGTTTCTAATTGCCGTTAGACATGCTGAAGTTCATTAAAAAGCCTGAAACTATGATTATACTGCAATATAACTTCTTCGTTACTCAACATACTTCATAAGCATCGTAATTACAAACTTTAATTAGAAATTCTTACTTTTGAATCCTATCGCATATTGAAATTTTTCTTAGTTTACCTTTATCTACTTGATCAATTGGATGCTGAATTAATGGGCTATGTCTTTCATCAGCATGAGATGGCTCACTACTTCTACCAATATTTGTTGGCGACGATGATGATAAACCATTAGTTGATTTTTGTATAAGTTCGTCTTCATCTTCATCAGTATTTTGTTCGTCAGATAAATCATATCTATCTCGACTATATTTAGAATCTAATGTTCGACTACCATGTGTGGAAGAGTCATCACAATAAACTTGTTGATAAACATTCGCTGTATCTCCTGTAAGACCTGTTTGAGTTTTATGATGACGAACAGATTCAATTGTTTCAGATGTTTTTATTGTTGAACCAGGTGAACGATGCGATCGATTAACTATTGGTGCAACTGCACGTGTATTTGAATAAGATCTGAAAAATCAAAACAACATGAGAAAACTCTTGTTGTTGTTGTTTTTAATCTAGTTTTTTCTTTACCGCGTAAAGGATCGATTTTTAGTATAATTTTCACGTGCATATTCAGTAATTTCTTTTTGTGTACGACCATGATAACGAAATGATGAGCCGCCTGCTAGTAATTTCTTTTTTGAACGATGTAAACGTTGAATAGTAACACAACGGAAAAAAGCATGATATTCAATACATTTTTTCCAAAAATTTTTGCATTCATCACGTGTATCAAAGTAAAATTCAACTGTATCTTTATAATAACCCTTAAATTATAGAAGAAAAACAAAATTTTCTTTCTTTCTACTAGCCAATAAATCAATTATATTAAATCTCTTACATATCCTTCAGGTTGTAATTTAATTAGAAATTTTTTACGTTTAAAATTTAATTTACGAATTTTTGCCCATGAAAATGTATTGATTTTTGTTATATTTTGAAAAACAAGTATGCCCATATGTGCAACAGATAAATTAAGATGAACTTGTTCGTGATCTTTAGCTGGATGCATTTTTATGCCATACAATTCAACTTTACGTGATATATCGAGTAGATTCAGATCAGCATCAGCTGGATATTGACCACTTTAAATATGAATAGATTTATATTTTTTATAGAGACTTATCTATTTTTGTTGTTGTTGTTGTTGTTGTGTGTTACTTACAGATGATTTTTATGAAAATTCATTATGCGAATTTCATGTTCCGCTGTTTGATGAGGAAAACATTTACGATTATTAAAATAACTTGGATTATTATTATATGAATCGAGATAATCACCAATTTCCGCTAGAATTCAACATTAAAACAAAGCAGATAAAAAAAATTAATAAAAAATGATTTCTCTACCTTGAACAATGTATGAAGCAAGTAAAGCAGCGGTATTATCACTGCATAGTAATGCACCAACAGCAAGATCACGTTTGATTTGTAATGCAAAAAGATATCTTGAAATAAAAGAAAATCATATGAAGAATAATTTTAGGTCTCAAAATTATTAGTGTATGCATAATATACCTAGTAAATTCTTCTTCCAATTGTCCTGGGTCCGGTGTGTAAAATTTAACACAGAATGAAAATTTTGTTTCTGAAACTTGTTTAAGAATTGGTTTATCTGATTCAAGCCAACACTAATTATATCAAAGAGTATTCAAATATCATATTATTACTATTAATAATCAAACATACAACATTTCGATGACTGTCAAGATATTCTAAACCAAAATAATCTCTTTCGAGTAAATCGATATTATTACAGATCGTATTTAATAAATCTTGACCAGTAGCTTTTGGCTAAAAAGGAAATGAACAATATTTCATTATGAATTCCATCCATTCATTCATCAATCAATCAATCAATCAATCAATTGTGCACGCATGTATAGAATAAACATATATGATTAAGTTGTGATAATAACCTAGATTTCATCATTGTCATTAACTGGACGAGCAATGATGATAGACAAGTACGAACGTACTCAACAATTAACCTCGCCTATCTATCACATTCTACAGTTGTTTTGGCAATTATATCATAGCATCGATTGTTGTCATGATTGACGATGTTCGATGCATACATCACAGCGTTCTTTCACCAACAATTTTCTACTTACATCAATATGAAATGGTAAATCTTGATCATCGAGCATATGAACTTTGCATGAGATTTGTTTGCCAGTTTTGGTTTTTGTTACCGATGAAGTCATAGTATTTGGTTTGCTTTTTTGTTTTGTTTTGGTCAAGCTTTTTAACTATTGATTTTTGTTGTGGCCGGATGCGAGAGAGAAAAGACAACAGTTATATTGTATCGCTGCCATTATTTAAACGAAATAATTATTTTCTCGTCGTCGTGTGTAAGTAGTTGTTCTTGAAGCATCAACATATTCTCTGAAAGAAACAAAATCATCGTAGACACATACATATATATACATAAACATAAATAAGCCAAAACTGTCTGCTCATCATCAATGTTCATGATTTGTAGCAGAGGCTACGGTCAGCATGTATGTTCACTCATCTTTTGTTTTATCAACGATCAACTTATTTTGTTCCCCCATTCACTAATAACATATCTTCTTTCTGTCTCGCGTCTAAACTTGATTATTATTTGCGGTCATATTGATTGATGATGTGCGTAAAAAATCTCTATAAATAAAATCTAAATGCACGCGTGAGATATGTCGTATTTTGTTCTCTTTTTATATACATAGAAGGTTAACGGTGAAGACATATTAACTGACTAACTAAAAGATGAATAAATAGAGACAAAAAAAAAACAGATAATTGATCGATAAAATGTGAACGCTATCTATGAAAAAAATGACATCAGATGTGAAGTTTTCATGCTTGTCTCCATGATACTGACCGATTTTTCTGTGTCATTTACGATTATCTATACTACTTCAATTATATCGTTTGTCCTTTTGACTTCGCCACAACGACGGCGACGACTAACAATTTATTAAATTCTTGAAGACGGCGATGCCTCACGACTATCAATTCTTTCTTCTCCGTTCTTTTAGTTGTCTGCTTTGCTGGCCTTTATTACATGACTAGTATAGTAACAGCTCAGTTAGTTGTCGTAGTACATGCTATAGAAAGACCATTGCTCAATATAACAGCTCTTCCTATTCGCCTTTTTCTTCTTCCTCCTCCTCTTTTTTCGGCTTAGTCGTTGATGATCCTTTTCTTTCTTTGTATGCCTTGAATTTCTTTTCATCATCGAACAGCTTTTCTTTTTTGCCAAATACAAATTCATAGGAGATAGTAGACTACTAGCAATAATGTGTGCATGTTCGTTTGATCGATTTATTTTTATTCTTTATCTTGCATCATCTTTTCTGTTAGTCAGGCTAACAAATACTTAAAGTGACATATTGATTATGTCACATTGAATTGGTGTGGTTTTTAATAGATTAAGAACATTTATTAAATGTTTTAAATTAGTCTTGTCATGAATCTAAACATAGTAACTGGTTTCAAGTAAAATTAATTCATGTGTGGTGACTTTTTATGCTTGAAAATAAATCAAAAGCGTTTCAGCGTTGTCAATATGTGATAGTAACAGGAAATGAGTCATATTAATGAAACAGATGTCTATTTGGAAGTATTCATATACATGTACTTGCATAGTTGTTTTGCTGTTCTCTCGTAATGTGAATGTTTTTCGTCAACATGAACAAATCACCAATGAAGAATGAGCGTCCAATGACAAAAATAGATAATCTATATTCCGCTTATATACTAGCTATATTCTTTTAAATGAAAGACAAAAAAAAGCTGTTCTTCTCATGTGTACTATGAAAAGAACAATGACACTCTCAGGTTGAGTACTATTTAAACAAGTAACTCAAGTTGTTCTGTTATCAATTCAACCTATGAAATAAAGACGTTTTGCAAGAAAATAATATTTTTGTGGATTCTAGCAGCAGTATATTAATTTACTATACATGAAAAATGCGGTCTCATTGCTTTTATTCAATAAAATATCGAACGTTGATGAAAGTTATTTATTGCTTACCCGAAGACTATTAGTGACGATAAAAATCAGTTCGTTTTCTGCTTTGTTTAATATGATGTATAGCTTAAATTGACAGATAGTAAGCAAATGCAATCACAATGTGGAATGAGAATCGTGTCAAAGTCTCTGGAAAGAACATAAATAAACAGTAGCACAGCATGAGACCAACCAATATCGAATAATACTTTTCAATGGTTTGATTTTTCACCAATCATATAATTGTTGATTTTTATTGGTTGGAACACTTGTACTCAGAAGGAAAGTCTTCAGGGTTTTCTGTATATTGTTATGTAAGCAGATTTTCTTTACACTTGATCTTGATTGTCGACAAAAAATTATCAAACATACTGATGAATTTTATTATGTTATAAAGAAATAAACGAGAAAAATCTATTCACATACAGACTAATTCAACTCCAAGTATTTGATTCATTATATATCTAAATGATTTACAGGAATACTAAGCTTTGTTTTTCTTAGTCTTTGAATCACTTTTAACTTATAGTGAAAGATATAAAAAGTACTTGCAATATACAAAATAGCAAAACTGTAAGAAATCTATTTCTGTGTGTGAAGGTAGTTGATACATAATGTGAGCATCTGAGTATTAATATATTTTAGTATGATTATGATATCTTGGTATTTCTGTTGCATAGGTATCACTGATCTGCTTTAAAAAAACTATAAACTTCAAGATTGATTGAAATTTATAGTGTTTTAGTCAAAATTCTTAAAAAATTTTAAAATCTTTATTTGCAATAATATATACCATTAATTAACAAGATAATTTTCGTATTTTCGTACTAGAGAATTTATCCGCGCATCTAATTATTGAACATATTCTTGTCGCTAAGCATCTTTGAAAGAATTATGGAAATCAAACAATAGTCATTAAAAAGTATTAGTCATATTTCAAAATATTCTAATTTAAACACAAACTAACTTGACCATAGAAATTTCTACTTGAAATTTCTTTTTTGTGTCAGTATGAAATTAGAAAGCTCCTAACTGTAACTTTATTCATGATAGAGAATTCTCATGTGCCAGTGTGCTATATATACTGTTTAATATATATTTTATTGCGTACAGCGCCATCGCAAACAATCTTACGGAAACAAGTTTCTTTTATGTTGATAATACCATGTTGGACAGGATTGGTGTCGTGGTTTTATAGAAATTCATTCTGGACTTGATGAAAGCAGTGTTTCTAACAGCAAGTGTACACAGCAAAAGCAAAATGTCTAGAACACCTGCTGTTTCCGAAATACACTCTGATTTACACGTTGCTCAGAAAACAAAAATGTAAGGCGTACACTTTGAAAAAGAAAATAACACTTTGATGTTAGATCACGAAAACTCATTTCGCTAAATCTTTGTCTGTTTGGACGGAATTAAATTACTGCCGTCGTCATCATCACTTCCCAGGTCGTGGAGGTACGACGAGAAACGGCCGGAAAGCGCTGGAAAGTGGAAGCAGTATTCCGATCGGAAATTACCGGGCTTTTTCCTGTGGATTCCGGACAACTCCCAGCTGGACAGCACAGAAAACTGACCAGAATCCACAGGAAAAAAATCCGGTAACTTCCAACCAGAATACTGCTTCCACTTTTCAGCGCTTTTCGGCCAGATACAGTGATTTTTCCGCATCTTTCCGGACAGCTCCTACGGTATCAACCCTCTGGAACCATTGACCTGGGTTGCTGTATCAACAGATTCACATTGTGAGGTCGAAATTCTACGTAAAAATGTATTTATTAATTCATCAATAACCGTACATGCTATGAATGAAAAGTATTCAACTGAATGTGATAATATTGGATAAAAAGTAGCAACACCTAGTAATGCTCTTGTTTGGTTGTTTATAATTTATGTGACTTTCTTTCTCTATGAAACAGATAAAAAACAATTTTTCTTATTATCTTTCTAGATTATCTGACCTCTTTTCGTTTATTTACACTTTGATACACTTTGTTTATAAAATCAAAGGGTGAAGATACACGTTTTTCACATAAGCATAATGTACAAAAACATTTTACTTCAGATTTCTATTAGAAACACTGGATGAAAGTACTTATTTATATCGTAGTTACTGATAAGAGAAAGTCATCTGAAAATGCACTTCGATCTTCAATTTTTTCCAGCGATATACTTTTTAGTACCAGTTGTCAATGGAATCGCTTATTTGATTAATCATAATTATTGGATCAATAGATGAAGGTTATGTTTGTATTAATTATATCTGAAGCGTATTAGTTAGGCTATTTATTTAGTATCCAATACAACAAGCAATATTTTTAGTACACGTTATAAATACAAAATTTATTTACGAATACGTATTCATATAGTATATAGAAGTAATTAGAAACCAATATAAACGGTTTTGTTCTTTAACCAGTCCCTAGAACGTATGTCCATGAAACCTTCGATATAATTTTCTCACTATGGATTTATAGACTGATAAGAATACATCGTGAGATTTCCTGCTTGAAATTTTAATAAATTCTTCCAGTACCGCACACTGAACATTATAGCTGAGTATTTTTGTTCTAAAATCCTTTGCTGTATAACATTGTATCAACAAATAGAGATCTATAATGGAAAGCATCGAGTTTAGTTTTCAGTATTCTTGAAAATTCAATAATGGTGCCTGTGGTAATCTCACATATGCTAAGAGTAATTAGAATAATTAGTATCAATTAGAGGTAGGGTATAGGAACTGTAAAAACATTTATCAAACGAGTACTCGTTTATTTTCTTAGATTATTTTTTCAATTAATTCATTAGATGTTGATCATCGTAAACGTGACTAGGAACTATTTTGCGCGATTTAATTTCGACTAACCAGGACAGAATGTTTAGGTGGCCTTCAGTTTTGCAGCATCGACTACACTAGAATATCTGCAACTTTGAATTTTCAATCAAACTAATATATTCCCCATCAGTAGATCGCCTGAAGTTAAGAGTGCTTTGGAAATTTCAGGCAACGAGACATATTTGTCTTACAGTATCAAATATGAAAATACAACCACTTGCCCAAAAATCGAGGTGAAAAAGTGAACTTTATTTCATTTTTTGATATCTCAAGAATAACATACACATTTATACTGAAATTTACAGGACGTTATGAAATTCATCAAATCTGCATGAACATAAAGTTACAGGTTGTTATTAAATAATTTGATTACTTTATCAATTTGTTCGCCACTTTCAAAAAGACAGGATAAGAAGACGAAACTGTACATATTTCTGTTAGTCTCATCATATTTATAAGAAAATCATATTTTCTAATTCCGACCTGAAACTTGACCTACATAATGATTTCAAAATTTTTAAATTTAGGATGCATGCAACATGAAGCGTTCAAGAAGTAGATACTCTATGTACTACTATCAATTGAAAATAATATATAACTTGAAATTGCTAATTTTTATGTAAGTTCGACTAATTGAGATCTTTATTGGAGGTCAAATTTGATGCTAACATAGAGAAAAATACTCTTGCTAAAGATGAAGAATCTAACAAAAACTTCGTCTTTGTCACCGATAGATAATTGCTCAGAGCTCTTTTTTTTAGGTTAGATTTAAATCAGAAAAATACTCATAAAGTGTTCCATCGTTTGACATAAAGTAATATCAGAGGTATTGTCGTGCTTTCAATTTGAGGATTATTTTTCTTCTTGTTATTATTGTTGAACTAATTTAAAATTCATCATTCCGTGAACGAATACTAAAACAATTGATTAAAAACTAGATTATAGAGTTTCGAAAATTTTATCGAGTAACAAAACGAGTTATGAAGTTCGTTTTAGTTTTCTGTATCGAACCGATGTTATTTTGTTTTTGCCTAATATTTGCTTATATTACAGATAATTCTTTGTGTCATATAACTATTATCAAATGAGATTGAGGTACAGGTAAAGCAAATAAATTCGAGGATATAGCAACATTAAGATACAATATCACAGGCTGGTCATGAGTCTAAAGTACTGATGATACTTTTGACTTTGACTTAACTTTGGTTCGAAAAGTAAAATCAAAGTATCTAGTACTTCTTCATATTCTGAATGTGATTTGACATATCAACATCGAGGATGTGATATTTCTAGTTCACTATAACCTATACGTGAACCAAAATATGGTATGAACTAATTCTATCCAATTAAACATAAATACATGGAATATACTGATTACCATCGGTCATAATATAAATTGCAATGTGTACGTAAAATAATTCATCATATTCGGATAATAACTACTCACAATGATCCTGTTTGTTTTAAAGTAAAATACTTATATATATATAGAACAGCTTTTTATTTGAATAAAACACCACATAGATAACAAAAATTTAACAATAAAAACGAATTTTTCGGCTTAGAACCGATTCAAATACAAGAAGAAAGCACTGTGGTGACACAATGCACTAGTCTAATGAAGAAAATAAAAAAAAACGAAAATATCTATTGAAACATGATCAGGCACTTTAAAAGGTAGACTCTTCGCGATACTTTTCCGTCACACGATTAGCCATAGACATTAACGTATCCAATGTTCGAAAAAGACCATAGTAATGGCATTTAAGTTCATCTTTAATTGTTTCATATGGTGTTGAAGCTGAGGATGTTGAACTACGATCGAATTCATCTGATGATGTTGTTGATGATGCAGATGAAAATTGATTATTATCATGATATGGAATAATAATTCCTTCGTCGTCATTAGACTGTTTTCGGTGTTGTTCTTTCGAATTATTATTATTGTCATCATCATCATCAGTAGCAAATGGATATGAGCGCTGCAGTTGATTTCGCATACCTCGAACAAATGTATAAATATCATGCCAATTATCTGGTTGAACGGCATTATCAAAAACGAGTTCTTTAAAACAGAAATCAAATTGTCATGTTGAGGATAAAAAAAGGAATTTTTTGTTTTATACCTTCAACTGGTATATCTTTTAGTCTTGATGGTAACATGATTTCTTCTTCCATGGTTTTTGTTGCTTGAAAGAAATTATTCATTGTATCACTGAGAATAGGTATAGAAAGAGATGAAGATGAACCTTGGCTAAGAAAATCATAAGTGGATGCTGAAGGATTTGGACGACATCGTTTATTATTATTGCAGAAATTTTGTCTTTGTGTTGTACTTGATACAGATGATCGTCTTAAGAGTTTTAAAGCTGGTTGAGATGTTTGTTGTGCTCTCGAGAATGTTAAATCAGAAGTACTGTTTGTCGGTGTCATCGTAGAACAATTGCCCTTCATTTTTGTTCACAAATGGATTCGATTCATAAATGACAAGCTACTTATAGGCAATACGAGAGAAAGAAGAAGAAAAGAAACCAAGACCGTGTTTTTTACTCTCTCCCGCAAAATATTATATGTTATAGCCGAGAGAGAGAGAATAATAGATGAAAGAGAGTCAATATAAGCGAAAGAGAACGTTCTTTTTTTTGCGTTTTTGCGCGCAGAACGCTTTCACGCCATGCATTGAATGACTGATACTAGAATGGATAATATTCAGTTTTGCGTGACATAAGCATTTTGTTTTTTTGCTTGATAAATCGTACTGAAAAAATAATAATATGAATATAAAGAAAACGTTTTTAAAGCAATCATGACTACGACAATACATTGTTTTCGTATTTGTTAACTTGACATGAATGATACGAAAGCGTTTTAATTTCTCTAAAAAAGGCATGTTATCAAAAAGATAAATATTGTCTGTTTTCAAAATTCAATTTGAATATATAAGTAGCAGTAATTATATTGACAACAAATTTTATGTCTATAAACTAAAGTAAAACAAATTATTCATACTAATAAAACACCTCCATCATATGATGAATAAGAAAAATTGTCATCACCATTTTCTTAAGAGCATATTTATCTTTAGAATATACAGAAACATATTAGTCAAAGATCCTATTCCAGATTTTTTTTTCATATTAAAAACAATACGAATTTGTTATTTTTCTTTCTTTATTGTTACTGTTTGATCAAAATGGCGTGATTATAATAAAAAAAAATCATGATGCATTACTGATGATTTGATGTATCATTATTATAATCGACTCATAGGCATATCTATACAATCAATACGTGCCGATTAAGCAAAACTAAAGACACTTCTCTTTTGATTTCTATTCATAATACACAAACCACTAATACAAAAAGAGACAAAACAAAACCTATAAAATTATAATCATATTTCTACCTAGTCACACTTATCGTTGTTTTGGCAAACAATGAAAACATCTTATCATTGAGTACATATGGTTATTTTGATGCAAAAAATTGTTTTTAACTCATAAATAACATTGCTGTTTTTATGATGAATATTTAAAAATATTCATTTATCAATCTAAATGATGTTTAATATTTAAACGAGAAATTTTCATAGCCTTTTTAATGTTCAAAAAAGAAATATTTCTTGTTTCGGCTATAATATAAATTGTTTTTATCCTTCAAAAATCATTTCCATTTCCTATTGCAATAAAGTAACTGAATCGGAATTAAAATGATTAGGAGGACATACTGCCTTAAAGAAATCAACATTCAATGGTATAGCCCTATTCTGCGTTGTTGATAAGTTAGATATAAATAACACAACTTTCTGTTTTGTTGAAAGTTAACCTATTACTTATAAAACGATATTAGCTATAGAAAAAATATAGAAACTGCGAAAACAAGGACTACGAGAGTATATATAGTATAAATAAGAAATCAAATATTTCTAATATAATTTTGCAAAAATACCTAAATTAATTCAGTAAATAAAATAAAATATTTCTTTACTATTTAACTGTAAAAGCAAGATAAGACTCGACAATGTTATGACGCCATTCGGTTTTTATAGAACGAATAAAGTAGATCAAACGTCGCAATTACTCACAGCACTATTTACAAGTATAGAACAGATGTCATTGTGCATCATTCACCTTTGTAAAATTCCTACATAGATCTATTTTCTTACTGTAAAAATATGCTAACTAAAAATAGTTTCGATGCCATATGTATCTCATATTTCAATAGAAATTACGTCAATATTTAAAAAAGTGATGCCTTATTCAGATAAACATATCTGGAACTTGCCGAATATAAAGAACATTTATTTAACTATAACATAGAACTAGCATTTTATTGAGACTAATGTTTAAGTGTGATAAATTTACTAAATATTCTTTTGAATTTGAAAACACGAAGAATTCAATTCTAAATTAAGTAAATATCCATGTTTTCATTTTGTTTGCGCCTATTCTAAAGTCTTGGAAATTATTTCGCTAAGAAAGAGCTAATTCTTCAAAACAGAGTTCTTGAACAATATAAAAATACGATGTTGTCTTATTACTGAAGGTTTATACATGACAACGATCAAACTTGAGATTTGTTGGAACGAAATTAGAAGTAAGTGAAACATAAACAAATATATTTTTACAGCATCAAAAGCTAAAACGAAAAATCCATCTTAGAAAACAAAATAAAAATAAAATTGAATAGAATAAGATTTTCATGACTATATTCTTCAATGCTAAATTTTACTTGTCGATAAATTGTTTCATTTATAGATTAAAACAAATACTACTACTTTTAAACTTCGTCGCCATAAATAAGAAAAGTGGTTGCATATGTGACTTATAAAAGTGCGCGTGACTGAAAACTGCGGCAATCTAAAAAAACATTGTTTCGAGTGTTCTGTTCCATGATCTGTTGTTGTAAATCCACATATGGTAGAAATAGGGGTGAATCGGTTGACATAGAATAAGTGGTATATTTATTGCATGGAGAGCAATTCAGCACAATCAAAACAACAGTTGCAATGTATTCGATCTCATGCAATATTCTACTTGAGCAATTTACTTCTAGACCAATTCTAAATTTGCCCGATCAAAACTCTAAGTTCTAAATTAATTATTATGACATTATAAAATTCTTTGACATAAAAGTTGAGTCAGCATCATTATCATCATTATAAAATCTCATTTATTTTATAATCACTCTAACAATTGATTGGTAATCCTCACTACGAATGTTGTCAGCATTAGATATAATTGACTAAAACGAAAATTCTTTACTTTTTGAGACATCAATCAAATAAAAGTGACGGTTCATATTAAAATATTTACATTTAATAAATTCATTTCAAACAATTTAATATTAAGAAATAGCTCTTGCATAGATTTTAACACATATTCTAATTCTCATAGACTATTTTACTATTAAAATATATACTGAATTGGATTTCTATTTCAAGTAAACATGATCATGTGTATTTATCTTATCAATAAAAATATCTATTCTGGTTTATTTTTACCATCATATTTTGTTATCATTTTATTACACATATATTCCAACTTATATCAAAATAAAAATACTCATGCATCGCAACTATTATTCAGTGCTCATTATTTCTGTACTTAAAACACTTCTCGTAACACTTTTTTGCTCTTGAATTAAGAAACAAACATACTCACCAAAATAATACTAAATATGAGTACAATATTTTGAGATATAAATATTAAAATATACTTATTAGCGATACTTTGATCGATAAGTTATGTGAAGAATGCAAATCGATAAAAAAAACTACACTCAAGGAGTTAAATAAAATTAAGCAGGCCATAAGATAAAATGAAATTATACTCTTCTAAAAAAGAGTTAAGCTAATGGTAGGGGTGCCGCTACCGAGGGAGGGGTGTAACACCCCCTGTAACGCCTTGATGAGGATCAGAGACGCAACTAATAAGTGCCAGGTGTCACAGTATTGGTTATAGCAGAATGACAACAATGAAAATTAAATAGTATTGAATATTGGATGAAGATCCAATTGCTTATTCAATGAACAGAAATAGTTGAGAATAAGAAGAACTCCACAAGCAAATAGCTGACACGAGTTCGAACGATTGTAAGGGACAATCGAGTTAGATTGATTGTAATAAACAACCGAGTTGAAAGAAAAAGGTAATATGTAATTGATCAAAAAGATGATTCTTTTTAATAGAGAAAAAAAACTAGTCAGAGAAGATACGCTCGAATGATGAGCGAAAGGTATTGAAAGAATGAGTATAGGTATATCTCAGCGAAGAGAGATATATGAAGAAGCTTGAAGAAAAGAATAATAAATTAACAATATTAGGCGCAAAAATAAACAAGAGAAAAAGAGAGGGAGGCTAGACAAAAAATAGCAGGCACTAAGGTAACATCAGTGACGCTTATGCCGGCACACACGCGCACACCCCCTCCAAATATTTGGAAACTTAAAAATATTCTGCTTATCTGAGAAGACGAAGAACAAATACAAAGTATGAACGTGTAAAACGTTTCTTTTTCGAACTCACTAACTTAAAACATAGCTTTGAGAATAAGATCTCATGTTCTCTCAGTGAAATATACAACAATTAGTGTGATAACATTAGCTTTCTTAATTCTTATAATTTACTGTCTTCTATCTCTGAGAATATAAGCGTTAGAAAGACTCACATATTTATAACGCTATTTATACTCTAGTAGCATTACATTATATTGAGGAAAAAAGGATTGATGATGGCAGACATTTTTTCACATATTCAAATATTTTTCATCAGATATTTCTGTTCCTAACTGTGTAGATTTAAGTAACACTATAAATTCCTCTTGAACAATCTATTCAGGATCAGTCATTAAAACAGCTTGAATAGCATACATAGATAATAATGTATTGAACGATAGTCCTTTGTTCTTTTCAGCCATAAACTAACAAACATTTTATAGAAAAAGCAAACTTCGCATTTTCAATGTCATAGCTGGAGTAAGTAAATATACACATACTTATTGCATTTGGAAAACATTTCGGAGGAAGACTTTTTCGAAACATTCTCTTTCAATACATGTTTTCTCTTGGTAAGGTAAGATTTTTCTCGGTTTTTATTACGTTTACAAAACGAATGATCATAGAAGAGAACATATGAAAAACAAAACAAAATAAAAACAAAACAGAAAAATTCTCTTGGCGTTACATGCCCGGTGGACCTATGAATAAAAAAAGAAAATTAAATTGAAAATGATTTTAAACTAACTTACGCATTCCCATGGGTGGTGGAATAGGTGGCATTCTGATTCCAGGTGGTAGACCACGTCCATTAGGTGCCATTTGATTGAAAGCAGGTCCACCAATACCACGTACTGGTCCTTGAAGACCAGGAGGTGCAAATGTTGATGCACCAAGTACAGGTGGCATGACACCTATTAGCAATGAAATATATTATTTATGTTCATGACTATGGAGAAATTAAACATACCACGACCAGCGGCACGACCAGCACCTTGTGCTGCTGCACTTGTCGGTATACGAGCAATACCAACTTCCTATAAAGAAAGATTAGAACTATTTCCTGTATGAACTATAGAAGTAGTAGAACACTCTAGTTATTCATCTTCTTTTTCACTATGTATAGACGAACTGAATTTTATATTTGATTTTGAAACCTACTGTAATTCAAAAGAACTTATCTAAACGTATAATATTTTTTTTCATTTCACTTATCGACCTGCCATTGAAGCTCTTGTTCAACGGTATTCAAGCGTTCGATATTACGCAAAGCAACGGACGACAGGATGTTCTACTAGTCATTATCAAATATAATATTGAATACTCTTAGTTATGCTATAGAGATCATATTTGTGTATACGAGCGTCCAATAAAACTATGATTAGCCTGAAATTTTTGAATTAACTACTGTGTTATTTTAAAATAAAAGAGCTCTATAATATGTCATAATTCATTTTTCTGAGAACGCACAACTCATAACTCATAACTCTTAGTGACTAACCCACAATAACCGAGAAATATAGCTGCGATTGGAGCTGTTCTGCTCATATCTATCATCGATATATAAATTAACTTATTCGAAGTAAATACCAGCATAAATAGAAATTCACTCCTGTCCACATTTTTCTAGCCTAGTTTTTATTGAATACATTCTTTGAATTGAACTAACACCTCCAAGTAAACCAAAATACGTTTCATGTATAAATCGAGACTTAATGCTAACATATGTCTCACTAGTTTCAGTTATAATTAAGACTCAAATGAATTAAAAATCTTGCGAGTGAATCACACTAATTTCGCTTCTCATAAACGATCATACTTAATGAAATTCGTAGAGAGAAAATAATAATTACAAACCTCTTTTGGTGGTGGTCCTTCGACTGTCATTGATACAAGATGTTCGCCACGTAATAAAATCAATCCTAATGGTCGTTGTTCTTCACGCTCTGTTTTATCAGTTTTACCTCTTACTTTACGAAATTCTTCACAATCGGCTAAGATTAGATTCATATGTTTATCGAAAGCTTTAAATGTTCCAACCAATTGACGTCCATCTTGTATTGTACATCTCATACCTATCGAGAGAGGAAAAAGACAATCAATTAAATATATTCAATCAAAATAAGCAAGAACATACGATAATTAATATGTTGCAGCATTTTACTGCTTTTTCCTTGTGTCGGCTAAAAACAAAAGGAAAAGCATATTGAAGAATTTTCTCTAAATAGATATTTTGTCTTACCATTTTTAATACTTCGATGTGAATCTAATGGTTATCACAAAGAAATCTAAAATAAAAATAAATTTAAGAGCTAGTGTATCATAACAAAGTCAGAATCGCTTCGTTTTCTTTCATTAGAGAATCAGCAGCAAAATAAAATATTTGTCATTTTTTTCCATCATTCTTTGTTACGATTAAAAATTTTATGAAAAAAAGAGAAATCAATGAAGAATTTCTTCGTTATTTCGAAATCGACTATTTAAACCAATCACAATTTACGATAGTTAGGACATCTTTCGTTAGATTTTAACATCCTCGTATCTCAGAAAGTGATTTACCATAGTAAACTCTGGACAGATAGACAAAACTAACGTAAGATAATAGTAAACATTATTTTATACCATGTTCATCGATATATTTCCGATTTTTTTTTCTGTTTTAGATCAACCCCGATAAGTTTATCCATATATTCATACATCATGGGTCATTCATCCATCTTTCGTTCGCACCCACATAAATATGGTCCAGGCAGTCGTATGTGTCGTGTATGTTCTAACGGTCATGGAATCATTCGTAAAGTAAATGAAGACTTTTTCTTTTTTCCAAAAACAACATGAACTCAATTTATATATTTTTCTTTCTTTTAGTATGGCTTAATGATTTGCCGTCAATGCTTTCGCCAGTATTCAAATGATATTGGTTTCAAGAAACTCGACTAAATACTATCGATAAACAAGATGTAACAAAGAAAAGAAATCGAAAGAGACCATCAAATTTTGCTTTGCTATGATAGTTTGTTTGTTTTTTTCAATTCGTCTTGCTTATGACCATTGTTCTTGTACGAAAAAATGAAATAAACACTAAACCTACATACCTAGGGAAATATCCGAATTTCTTTTTAATGTTTTATTTTGTTCCGTTTAAAAATTTGATTCATCTTTAGAGAGAATAAGAAAAAAAAGAAAATGATGGACATTGGTTTGGAAGATAGAAATGAAAATCAATCTGATACAACTACAATTAAGCTTCATAAAGGAGAACCTGATGAAACTATGATTCCATTTAATCTTCTTGAAAAAGCTACACAAAAAGTTTTTGCTGATGAAAAAGGTAGACACCAGCGAACATATTGGACTTATGGTGAAGATGAGGGTAATACAGAATTACGTCATCAAGTTATTAACTTTCTTCGTCATACATGCGCCATTGCAACATTAAGCTATGAAAATATATTCATTACAAATGGTACATCAGCTATACTCGATCAGATATGTACAATGTTTTTACGTGCAGGTGATACTATACTAGTTGAATGCCCAACATATTCATATGGTTTACAAATTTTTCGTGATCATCATTTACATATTATTTCATATTCAGTGGATGATGATGGTCTCGTAATTGATTCAACATTCATAAATGATGTGCTTGAACGAACCAAGCCTAAAATGATCTATATCGTACCTACATTCCAAAACCCTGTAAATAAATTATTCATTCATTGATTCAAATAATTAGCTCATATAAATATTAATCACTTGTTTTTAGGCTGGCGTTACTATGTCTCATCATCGACGTGAACAATTAGTTCAATTAAGTTTAAAATATCATTTTTTAATTGTTGCTGATGAAGTTTATCATCATCTTGATTATGAGAAGCAAGATCATAATAGTAATGGAATTGATCATGATAGATTAGTTGAACATCCAAAATCATTTGCTGCTTATCATGCAGCTGGAACCGTTGTAGCACTTCATTCGTTTTCAAAAATTCTTACACCTGCTTTGCGTTTGGGTTTTGCATGTGCAAGTCATGAACATGTTAATGCTATGGGCCGTTATGGTTTAATACATAGTGGTGGAGGAGCCAATCCTTTTGTTTCAGGTATTGTTGCTCGAACTCTAGAGGATGGTTCATTAAAGAAATTCATCGATGAAAAACTATGTGTTGAATATGGAAAACGTATGAGGGTATTATACAATGAATTGATGCAAATATTTGGCGAAAAACATATTACTTGCCGACGTCCATCAGGTGGTTATTTTCTTTGGGTCAAATTTAATGATACAGGTGTTGACTGTGACCAACTATTCATTATTGCTCGTAAATATGGTGTTACGTTTAGTCCAGGACGATTATTCGCTCATGATGAAGAAGCGAAAGCAAAATTAGCACATTGTCTTCGTCTTTGCTTTACTATTGTTGACTGTGAACAATTACGAGTAGGATGTGCAAGATTAAAACAAGCTTTTGAAGAATATAAGAACATAACATTGTAATAGTAGAGATTAACCCCAGTTTTTTTTAAACCTTTTTATTAAATAAAAGAAAAGGCGATTAAAAGACGTTAAGATGATAATGAAAAACCAAGTTTTTGTCGTCTTTTAATGTCTCTAAACTGATATAACCATATTCACCTTTCTCCATTTTTCATCTACTACAATTATTCAAATCAATTGAAAAATTCAATCAAGAACTAACCTAATAAGAACAACTTAGCATCCATCATTATAGATTTTACATTAATTCATTTATACTTTGAATATTTATTAATCCTAACATCTCATCATAAAATAAAGTGTTAATATTACTTTTCATTGGAAAGTTGTGATGTAGGCTTCTTTCATTTGATACTATTTCAAGAAGCAATTAAATACATTTCGAATGTTTCTAAATCATTCTATTGTTGGTCTTAAAAAGAAATTTCTTTTCTATTTCGCCAGAATAATTTGTTGACAATAAATACGAATACAATAAACAATCGATTCGATATTAGGTGAAAAATCATGAATGTCATACCTCGAGATTTAAAAAAAATTCGCAAAACAGTCAAAAAGAATACACCGTATTAGTAATCGGTACGGATACATTTTATAAATCTCTATGATGTTTCCTTTCAATCCGTAGAACAATATGCTTAAAAATACAACCAATAGTTCCAGAAGAAGAAATTTTTTTTTCATCTTATGATAATTCTTCTGAAAGCCATATGAATAAAACTAATTTTCAAATTCAAAAAGATTTTACCAGAATCATCTTCTGAATATCTGATGTCATCACAGCTACTACAAAACAACACTGAGATGATATATATATATATATAAGCTTTTAAATCATTTTAGCTTCGACTTTTCTCAACTAGGAATAGACTCCCTTAAAATAAACGATACATAGTATATTAGAAATCCGCGCCCATAGTTACATCAAATGGTAAATAGTTTTATCCCAAAAATTGAGATTTAGAGTACATCTTATTATATTTTGCCTAGACAATGTAGCTTTCATACGATACAAAACTATGTACAGGTTTTAGAGAAATGTTTCTATTTTAAATGGTCGTTATTAATATGTTCGATAGGAAAATTGCATACTATGTATCACGACAAAAAACAAGAAAGAAATCAATTAGATTTTTTCTGTTCGCATGGACATCAAGTCGAACTATATGAATTGAAGATATTCCCATCAAGTACTCCCAAAGTATTATTGCGCAAACAATATCGAATATTTCATACATTTGGAGACAATGAGTTAACAAATTTTATTTTTAAAGAATATCAAAAGAAAGTTATGTATAACATCAACAAAAATAATTTTTATCTTAATGATAGACAAGAGAAATTATCTGCAACTACTATGCGATGCTAATTCTATACTTGAAAATTTTGGATCAATAAATATTGATGATGTTTCTGTTGGGCTATGTACGACTATTTGACGAATATGTGTATCACGACCACTTTGATGATTGGATAGTACTGCTATTTGAATCATCCATGTTTTTATCGGATTCGCACGTGCATCACGTGTTGGAACAATAACCCATCCTGCTGGCTCATGAATTTCAAAAGATCTTAATTCAACAAGATTGTTATGATTAATACCAGTACGAATTGAGATTCTAAGACACGTTGAAAGAAAATATCGAAGTTAAGAAAAGTAAACAGAAGAATCATCATACTTTTGAGGTGTGTAACTTTCATCAACTTTAAAATCAGAAAAAATACATAAATCTTTTATTTTGGTTTTTTGTTTAAATTGTATATTAACTAAATGTGGTTGTGGACCATCTGATTGCCAATACGTTTCAAGATTATCATCGAGCAATTTATCTACACCATGACCTAAAATTAGAGAAAAAAACGTATTTTATTTATATTATCAATGGCTACTTAGGCATTTTAAATATCTATCGAAAGATAGAAAAAAAACTAGTATGAATGACTTGACTAATCAAAGAATTCAAATCTGAATAGATATTCTCTGATTCTTGTTTCTTCGATTTTGGTTGATTCTGTGCGTAGATATGATAGACACGAGTTCGAAAATGATGTACTAAATAGCTCATATACGTCATTTATTAGAAGATGATGCTGAAAAGTATCACGAAAAATGGTGAAAGAATGTGAAAACAATCGAAATCATTACTGTTTCTGTCAACATTAGAAATAATATGGCAGTCAATCGAATAGCGTGCAATGCAATAAAACTTTGACTATGTTTTTGCTAAATAAGTTATGTTCATTCCGCATTAAAACTACGTATTTTACAATGAACCATTAAGCTTCAGAGTTTCTTCATTGAGATTCAGATCGTTGATCTTCAATTAATCAAGTTCATTGTCTATCATAAAAAAATCTCTTTTCATTCCCTTTCCCTCATTCGAGTTATATTATATAGTATCTTGATTTTTTCACAAGAAAGATGTTATCGCTGAAACATTTCAAAGAGAATTATCTACGTATAAGTCGCTTGAGATAAATTGAAATTCATCGCTCGACTATTCAAATCAAATTCTAAATTAAAAGTAACAAATATTTTTGTTTCAATACATACCAGGTTTACATGACGATACATGCCAGTATGCTTGCTTTGTTATATTTTGTACAATGCCTTGTCTTTCATCTTCTGTTGGATCGATTTCTCGATTATTTTTACTAACACGAACCGGTACCGTGCAAATGTGCGTTGTCATACTAGAAGCAAAAGCGCCATATAAATTATATTAAGACTTACAAAAAATATATTTATTTTATTAAAAATATGATTAAAATCAAAGCATAGATTAATTTTCAACTATGCGAGTGATTGTTCTAACAATCGATCATACAAATTTATGCTCAAATTCTTTTTGTAAACAGTAACGAGTAGATAGAATCCGTCTAGTGTTTTCCATAGAGAAAACTGTTCTCAACAAGAATTTCAGAAAAATGAACCCGAAAGCAACAACTCGACATCCACAATCTGTAAAAAAACAAATTTTATTCCCGATCACTTAGAAACGCTTCTTCTATTTTCTACAAATTATAGAGCAATTGAATTTCTTCTAATTTTACCAGAATTCCGTAAGTTAAATTTACCTAGTTTTTCTCAAAAAAACTTGATATCTACCTAATTCACTGAAAACCAAATATCACATTGAATTCTGCGAAAGTCTCATTCTATAGAAAAGAAATCTTTTTACTATTTTCAATGATCACAAATCACTTTTAGTTTTTGGTATTTTCAAAGTTTTCTAAAATTCTTGCTAGAAAGAATCAAGTCTATTTAAAACACTATTGGAATCTTTTTATGCCAATTGCTACAGCAGTAAAAACTTGAATCTAAATCTGTATAACTGATTTCTTTGAAGCAATTGTATATATATATTTATTTATGAAGTTGCTTGTTCACGAATATCGCGTCGTTGTGCTGATTGGCATATTAAATCAATCATTAAATGTTTATCAAGGTCATAGAATTCTTGTGTCTTGCATATTTCATTCATACATTTTGAACATAATTCATAGATATAATCTAATAACAAATCAAATGCTGGTGACATTTGTTTGACAAGACGATACATCAATAGAATTGAATCACGATTTCTAGATAAATTATAAGAAATTTTTTCAAATGCAGCATTTTTTCCAGATAACAAATTGATTTTATTTGAATAGATCATACATTTAATTGCCATATCATATGAAATACTTTTACGATATGTACCAGTATAAATAAAATATAATAATTCAATAAATGTTTCATAATCAATATCAGTTAGTGCAATTGGTTTTGCTTGATTTTTTTCCCTGAAATCATCAAGTAAAAGTACACGAAAATATGAAGAACGACAACATAAAATATTTCGATGTGCATTGATAATTTTATTATCAATAAGAAACTGTACATCTAATTTAGTATCATTCAATATTTGTTCGTATAAAGTCATCATTGCTTGTAATATTGATGGACGATGTAAATTTATATCAAATATATTTGAACCAATAAGCTCTATTACATAAAAAATATGACAAAAAAAAAGAAATCGGCAAAGAAATATTTACTAATAGCTTGAATTCCGATTTTATCCGTGTATTTTGAACCGAAAGTAATGCGAATAGTATCTGATTGAAAACGGTAACGTCGTAAAAGTGGTTTGAATATATTATGAGATAATGGGATCTTATCAATATGAGATTTTGATTGCCACATTGTCCACCATTTATCTAAAAAGGAACACGTTGAATTATTAATAAATCTTTTTTCATATATTTAGCAGAAAGCTGTGACAGGTCATCTCTACGAAATCTATATAGAAAACACGGCACTACAGCATGCAGCAGAAATTATACAAGATCACAATAGGTGACGTTCCTGGGCTTGGGTTGTATGTTCATATGCATGATGAAGATAAACAACTAAATATTGCCTAATCAACTCGGTTGAATTTAATATAGTTCTTAGGAATACTTGAGTAAAAGTCAATGCGATAAGAGTGAGAAAAATTCGATAAAGGTACTTCCATATTTTTATCTTATAAAGTCTAGCAATAAAATGTCGAGAATCGTAGCGAGACTGAAAAATAGCTCTAAGAAATAATTGAAATAGATCTTTTGACATTTAAAACAACCATGTCTCTATTTCATTTTTATGTTGACAAAATTGTATGATGTCAAATGGCTCAGTGGATTGTGCATAGTCGATTGTTACGAAAAACAGCAACCTAACAGTTTCTGATATGTCTTGTGTTTTTCAAATTTTTAATCGCGTTTCACCTTTATTCTTTGCCATTTTATTGTCTTCTTGCCTTTAAATCACTAAATTCATGATTATACAAATATGCTGTAAAAGAAACTATTCATTATCAATTGTATTCTTTTATAAACTAAACAGTATAGTTTTTAGGCTAACGTTCATAATTGTATAAAAAAGAGCAGTTGATTACCGATCCTGATTTAATGATTTCAACTTATCAATAGAAATAGATCGAACTCTGATGAATAGATTCGTCACTTATTGAAATTCTCAAGTATTTATAGACTAATTTTAGTTAGCCGTGAAATTTGTATAGACTTCAGTTTAACAAGAAATAGAAAATTTTTATTTCAATATCACTATGACATTAAATATTGTCGAAAGTGAAAACTCAAGTCTCATTCTATCTCTTTGATCGTATGTGTCAATAATTATTAGATAAATATATTTTTTAAAGTAAAATTTTGATAATCTTACTTCTTTGACATTCAAGTATTTCCAACCTCATGATACTACCGGGATTGAGATTTTCATAAATACAGATTTCATTGATAAATGTAGGTGATTGAAATGAAACAATTAAATTTTCTTCTCGACTATTATTCGATAAAATCCACCCATTTTCATTTTTACCAAAGTTGACATCTGTTGCTTGACATAGTTTTTCAACACCAGAACCTTTGGTAACAGTTTCCGGATGATTACATTTATACGAACAATATTCAATCCACTGAACCCATTGTTCATTGCCGAGAATTGTATTTGAATCCTAAAATAAATTATTTTATTAGATATGTACGTTAATATTGGGTTTATTTACGTTATTCATTTGGCATAGAATATCAATATGCACAAAATTAGAAGAAGAAATGAAATTGTCAGAACATGTGAATCATGATGTCATAATTCTTTCTCAATCAGTTCTAATAACAAAAAAAAAACTAGACGTAAATCAAACCGACGAATCCCTAGAATATTTAGTAACCAATCGTTTAATTTCCAACTATAGTTGTCACTAATAAAAGCCTTGGTAGTATAGTTTATCATTCGATTGATAATAACGCCATGATTTAGATTTATCTGGTTTATTTATTTATTGTTAAGTACTTTTATCGAGGCGAAGCAAACGTGATGATGAATCATGAAACAATTATTCGTTCTATAGATTCGATGGATGTAATGTGAATTTTATTAGATGTTAACGCCTATTAAATTCGACATCTGTTTGGTTTCTTTGTTTAAGAAAGGAAAAATACGAATGACTTAAGACAGTAATAATTTTGTTTATCTAACAACAGTATAATATTTTATGAACCAATTTATTTCTAAAAAAATTGATTCAAATTCATTGCATGCTTTCCTCATCCCTATCCAATATAAATATCCAATGAATTGCATATCGAACAATTGATGCATTGCATAACTTTACGCTTTCTATTGATGTACATATTATACGAGTTTTTGACATGATACCTAGTTATTTATCATTACTATGAATAATATATAAATTTTTTTAAATGCCATTTACTATTATTTTGCACCTCATAAAAATGCATAAATTATATTTATCTTAAAATCACTCATCACACGAATATTTTCATTGCATTTTTCAAATAATTAATATTCTTGCAATAGAAAATTTTCTTAAAACGTTTTTTATGTTTATTCAATATTATATTTTTTGTTTGTTTCAGTTTTCAAAATGGAAGATCGAGATGGTAAAAAAGCATTTACCATACCGAAAACATGTACATCGAATAAAGGTAGTAGTAAATTTGTCAAATGAAATATTTTATGATGATCTTTTTAAAGATGTTTTAATACCGGAAAAAACTGGTAGTCGTAATGTAACGGAATTATTTGATGATATTAAATCGTGCGCACTGGAAGCACATTTTGATTTTCGAAAAAATGCTTGTAAATCATGTGAAACAATACGTAATCAAAAGTTACAAAAACTATATAAGTATTATAAAAATCTAAGTCAATCATTGTTCTTTTATTAAAATTATCATTGAAAACTGATTTAGTGAAAGAAAAATTCAAATGAAAAAAACTCAAGATTCAACAGAACGTTTTGCTTTTCACTTAATTACATCTCGAGATAGTGCATTAAGTATTGCGAATGATGGGCTCATGTGTGAACAGTTATCGTTTTCAATCGATCAATATCTTGGTAATTTTATTCTATATATTTAAATGATAATCTTTATTTTTGTTCAATGTCAAAGGAAATCCTAAAGATGGTGTTCATTTATCAAGACGTCCAGACGTTCTTTTGGCATCTACTGGTGCACAAGGACTGCATAAATTTGGATTATTAATCTGTAAAGTAAGGAAGTAGATTAAAATATATCAATCAAAAACTTAATTCTTTTTAGATAATTTTGGGTAAAGGTTATGCAACTATACCTTCAGCAAATAATAAACAATTCTCTGCACAATTGCATTATGATCATCATTTTTGTAAAATTCAGCCGTCAAATAGAGAACAACGTAATATCGATAATTTATTAGCAAAGTCTTTAGTAAGTACTGAAACAAAAAAATTTAAGTGATCGATTAATCTTTCATTGTTATCAAAACTTTGGAAGTATTTCTCGTACAAAAAACTAACATCTTTTTTCTAACTCAATTAATGGTTTCAGCGTCCGTATATACTAATTCGTGACGGAAGCGTAGCAATAGAAGACAAGAAACTGAGAGAATTTCAGTGATCGAGTTCTTCTGGTTTCGGCCAGGAACATTGATAGTCAGGCACAAATAAGCGATCGAATCCAATTATTCAAATTCTACGATTCTCCAGTACCAGTCGGTTGTACTTCATTCATTTGAATTTAGTTAAAAGTCTCAGTGGAATTCAAAAAGAAAAAAAAGCCCTTGTTTACGAAGATTTCTTTTGAAAAAAAATTTTCATGGCAGATTTTGATATATAACAATTTTGTTTGTGTTGGTAAGAAGATAACTTCGAATTTTTGATCTCCTACAATACGGATCTAACCCGATATTCTTTGAGTCAAAGGTGAGATTCGTTCGATTTTTTGTCAGTCTGATATACTTTCAACCAGTGCATAGCGATACCATGCAATAGGAATGAAAATAAATAAATAACTATACACATGAAAGTTGGTTCAAAATCATTTGCAATCAGACGAACTATTTGAAATAAATATCACATAATTTTAAGTACTCATAGTGAAGTTTTTGAAAGTTCTTATCGATTCGGTTCAGTTTTAGAGATTGCTAGAAATATGAACCGATTTCGTCTCACCCGTGAGCGATTTAGGAGGACTCCCATGGTGAACTAAGAAAAATCACAACATGTTTTGTTCTCTTTGATAAAAACATAAAATCTTTTTTGTCAGGATAAATCAATTTGTTAAGTTAGGTCAGTCAATTAAGTCGAACGAAAAACAAAAATTTCTCCCTACACCGAATTTATTTCATAAATGGCAGTCTTTAACGTACGTACATAATATATCAATTATCCGTAAGAAAACTATCCAGTCAAATTGAAGCACAAAAGCTAGAGACTTACTACTTGAATTAATCGTAAGATGGATTTTCAGTGATTCATGTATAGAAATATCCAAGGGAGAGAAGCGGATCCTAGGATCCAAAAGTCTGATCAGAAAAAGGAGGAGTTGGTCCTAGGATTTTCGAGTAAGAAGCATGAGTGAACTGATAAGATTGAGATATTAGTCAATTCCGATGAATTCTGCTAGGTTCCAATGAATTTTTCGATACTTAAAAATCAAGTAGGATACAACATACGAGTGTACAGCTTACGCTCATGAGCGTGAGCGGTATATTTCTAATTATTACCGTAATAAATACTGACCCAAAGTTATTACTTAGAAATTTTTAGTGCCTATCCAGGAGGATTTCTTGTAGCTACTTGCGATCTAACGGGAGATCGTATTAGAAACTTCCAGGATCAGACCAGAACTGGCCCCTATAGCCATTAGGAGCCTACTTATAGGTGATACTCAGAACTTTTTAAGAATCACATAAGGGTAATATTTAGAAGTGTTTTGAGCCTTGTCAAGGGTGGTACTTAGAAATTGTAAGGACTCAGTCAGAGGGAGTAATCAGAAGTTTTAGGGCCTACCCAGGGGTGGCCCCTTTAGCTATTTGGGATCTACTTACAGATGATACCTAGCACTTTTAAGAAACTAGGAAGGGGTGGTCCTGTACCTTTCTGGACGCACCCCAGGATGACAATTAGAACTATGTGAGAACTTCTCAGGGCTGATCTGTGCAACACTTTAGTGCATATATAGTGGCATCCCTTGCATTAATCTGCGCAGTGTGGGAGGGAATTCTTATAACTTATTCAGTCGTAACTAGAGATGAGCCGAGACAAACACTCATCAATACTGGAACCGAGGCTAACCGCGAACGAGAGCGAGACGGAGATGGGAAGTCTCGGTCTTGGCACAACCCTAGTCGTAACTATTGGCAGTTTCTATAACTTTTTCAATCCTATATAAGTATCATCCTTTTAACATGTCACTCTGCTCAGCAGTGATATCTTCAAACTTGAAGCACCATTCTTAGCGGTCCCGAAAAATTCATAAGGACAACCCTTAAGTAGATTCCAAATGACTAGAGGAACCATCCCAGTGTAAATCCACAAAATTTACGAGGACCACCTCCAAGTAGGATGCTAAAGTCACAGGGATCAGATCTAGATAGGACCTAAGGGATTGAATGGGTTACCCTTAATTACGGTCCAAATAATACTAGTGATTGAATGCAGGCAATCTAGCAATTGTGGACAAATCAGTGAATAGAACTGTTTCAGCAGTTCTTTTCATTTGATCTGAACTAAGATCTGAGAGATGTTGTAGCCATAGTGAGAAAGTAGAAGTATATCGATAAATAGAAGTAACTCCACCATCAAGTTCTTTATTGCTTTATTTCTTCCTTATTACTTTATTAATTTTCCTGGCTATTAGTTAGTACTATTAATTCAAAATAACAGTTAGTACTCATTACCGGTAATAGTAATGTGCTACTCCTACTAGACATATATAATAAGATCCTAGTTTTGTTCCCTGTTAGTTTGCGGTAGTAAGATGATCGAGTTTAAGAAACAAATATTCGGAAACTATGATTTTCCAAACTTTAATGAGCCCATTCTAGCGCTTATTGTCAATTCATCGAGCACCAAGTATTTAAATATATCGATTGAATATATTAGATAAGAAACTGTATGAAATACTATAATGAATTTTTATATGAATATAGCTAAAGTGGGATCATTATGACTGATTTCTGGCATATTCTATTTAGAGAAGAAACGCTCACGCTTATCAGCACTCGTGACCATGAGCTGCACACCCCTAATCCAGCAGGATCCATGTCTTTTACATTGTTTGAAGATTGCTGTAAAGCGTATCAGTTTTTGGTACATTGTGGTAGACTCCGACGTATGTAGTAGATTGAAGTAGCTTCTAATAGATGTCCGCACACTCCAGTCAATCTATTGTGCAATTTAATGCCCTTTATTAGGAGCAACAGGATCCGCATTTCCCCCTTTGGAAATATCAATACATAAAATAGTGTCAATGTACGATGAGATAATTATCTTCTATAATTAATGAAATTTTATAAACAGTCGCCCATAGATAGTATTAATAAAATAGCTATGCTAATTTTCATATAAATATCTTGTTTAAGAATATAATTATACGCTAATTATTATTAAAAACCCGGAAAATATTAATCTAATTAAAAATATGAACTTTTCGGTAAGTTTTATTTCGTCATAAATATTGAAAATCGATCATAAATGCAGCAGAACAACATTGATCAGATATAGTTATTGAATATGATTACTTTCGACTAGTAATTATATATTGTCAATCTCATTTTGAAATGAATTTATTTTTCTTCATTAGATATTCTGCTATGAATATAATGATTTAGAAACAGTTTCCCATCCATCTCAAATTTTACCTCTCGCAATTTTATGGTATGATCTTAAAGAAAAATTCTCATCTAAACTCGTATCAACATCTCAAGAATCTCGAAAAAATCATGAAAAAATGAACAACTCAAAAAATCTGAATAAAACCAAGCCACTACTATCAAAACCCATATCTAAACCAATGTCATTATTAAACACTGGTACTTGGGTCGATCTTACATCAGATATAACAATAAGTCCAGAAAAAAAAAAGATTCCGCCAACACAAACTATGCCAAATCAATATCCTACTCAACTTATGTTATCATTTTCATCATTTAGTAATCTACAGCAAATAGCAAATTATCGAGATCCTCGCTTAGCACGAACAGTCACATCATCTGAAACAATACCATTATCACCACGAACTCCAATTCATGAAAAATCGCAATTGGATATATCGTTATCAACGAAACCAACAGTTCTTGCAAAAAGAAATCCTCTAACAGTCATTCCATTGAATTCAAAAACTAAGTTAATCGATCCACGTGTACAAAGTGATAAATCAAAGCATCATGTTTTTTATCTCGAATCACAAGCTGTCAAACATGCACTACAGCAACAAAAACGTCTTAACAATTATCATAATTCTAAGAATAATACAAAACCAAAAACAAGTTACACACTTATACCATTTACTATCAATTCAATATCATTAGATGAATATGAATCTAGTAAAAAAGTATCAAATCAATCACTTCCTACAGATCATTCACCTTTATGTATATCAGTGGTCGATTATTTTCATTTTGGTTTAAAACCAAAAAATAATAAACTATATATTGATTTAGAAGAAAATGAAAATCGATTTGCGTATGAACAAATTAATATATCAAATCACTTAATTGAACGCCAAAAACAATTAGGTTCTCAAGAAATTCGTCTACAGCTACGAGAAAGAGGACAAAGAAAAATGGATCAATTTTTTAATCAACACAATAAGTTTTATTCAGCTAATTCAAAGCTTTACGTTAATGCTGGTCGAAAATTCTTAAAAAACCATGTAGCAATAGCATCATCGTCATCAGATCATAAAATATCATCAGAATTATTAGATTTTTTCTCCTATGAATATCAAAGCGAAGAACGATCTCATGTAAAACATCTTTTAGCTGAACTTATTGGTGTTTTTGTTGAAAAATATGGTCTTGAAAATAAACAAATTATATCAAAACATACTCAAGATGAAGCTATTGAAGGTAAGATTTAAAAGCTATTATTTCAGTTAGCAACCAAAATCAAATATTAATGATTGACATTTTCAGTACTGTCAAATACGTTTTTTTTCATAATTCACAATATCTTCTATATTAAATTGATAACAAAACGTAAGAATAAAACTTGCGACATGAAACTAATTGAAATACATAAAAATTATTCTTGATATTTCCTAGAAAGAAATATTGACATTTGTTGAAAACGAATATCAGTATATTGTTTGTCGTCATTTTAAATACTTTATTTAGCTACTAACATTGAATTGCTATTATTGAAAAAAAATCGATCAATGCCGTTAGAAAAATAATAATCATCATGTCATATGTTCCTTAGAATATAACTCTGTATTTCAGAATTAGAGACGAAGATTTGAATTTCAATAATTACGATGAGAAATTTTTAGAAAAAAATCACAACTATTTCAATATTATCGTATCGTATATATTCCCAAGAATGGAAGACTCATTTAACATGTTGTTTCGTCGATGATGACGAAAAGATTTCTTTTAATTTAGCTTTGATCAACATCTAGAACGTATTGTTTTCAGTGTCGAATTTGAGTACACTAATGGTAATTGACTTCGATTGAGAGTTCAATCAAAGATGTGATAGATGTAGTTTGTCTTCATGCTGTGCCTCGTACAACTACACATCGATCGATTTCAAATTAACTGATTGTTGCTTTAGCTCAAAACTTTATATTACTCTGATATTCCTTATTAAAATGTTGGTACTATTCGAAAATCTCTTCTTGATTTGTTAATTAAATATCTTGTGTTTGTTTTCAAAATCTAACCATGAAGAACATCATTAGAATCATATTACCATAAATCTTTTTTTATTCTAAATCGATTACTTCGATAAACTAAAGTTTCTTATTTCACATTTCATCTGTTACATGTTTGTAATTTTGAGACAGCTGATTGCTTTTCGTTTCTTTATTAAAGGTGTCATCATGGAAGGTCAAACAATCAATGATGTCATTGACATGGACTTAGCATCTCCATCTTCTCAAGGATTAGGTGATTATGATGAACGTTTTCGAGTACAAACACCGCCATCATCTATCAACAATCCCATTTACAATCAGCTGGCTACATCTTTACCTTTGTCTCAAACATTACCCGCAGAAGCGAATAAAATGTTTGATGAACTAAATAGTAATAGTATTGAAATAGCTCAACCACTAAGAATCGATTTACCATTGTCTTTATCGAAGAATTACGTCGATCTCATTGATTTTAAACCAAAACTTGAAAAACTGGAATTTTCATCTAATGAAAACAATACTATTGAAGATAATCATCCATTGCTGATCAATGCAAATTCCAAACAAATAATGAATTCAAATTCATTGATAAATATTGACGATGATTCCAATCGTTCACGCGATGAATTTGTTAAATTATTAACAAAAGAAGTTTATACATCAAAACCGTCAAGTCCATCAAAAGTTCTTAATCATCATAGACGATCGTATGATAATGATGAATCAAATATAAATAAAAATCTTTTATCAACACGAACAGTAACACTTGTATCAAATTGTTGTGAAGATAATTTAATTATTGAAACAAAAAATATCGATGAAAGAAACACAGACGAAGAACCAACTGTTAAACGTATAAAAATTACACCAGCTGATGGTTTGTATTTTTTTTTCGTTCTGTGCATATTTTCTTTATTATCTTGTTTAGACATAGATTCTCCTATTAAAGTTATTGATGATCATGATTATCGTAAAGATCTTGATGAAAGAAAACGGCAAGCACGAAAAAAGAAAAGATTACCACATTCTCGCTCACCTTCAAAATCAACAAGTTCACGTAATTCATCTATAAGAAAATCTAAAACACGATCACCATCATCATCATCCAGTCGTGCATCATCAATAAGTAACCGTTATCGGCAACAACAACAACAACAACAAAAAGAATATAAATATAAATACAATCATTCGTCAGATAGATCTTATCATAGTTATCAACGTGATATAAGTAGTTCGAATTCAATACGTTTGCAAACATCGCATCATCAAAGATTTAATTATAATCATCAATCTGTTGCTGATCATCCACGCTTTTCTAACGTTAATACAGTATCCAGTCCAATCAAAAGTCTTATGGATGATTCATTAAACACATCGAATTATTCACAATCGATAACAGATTATTCTGATCGATCATCAATAACAAATATTAATCGAGTGTAAGAATAACAGATTTTAGTTCTTTATACAAGAGAAAAAATAATACAGTTCAAGTCATATAAATTTAATAAGTTGCTACAACGTTTTAGAACGAAAAAATAATTTAACACTTTCAAAGATTCTTGTAATGCAATACGAATTATCTAGTTTTCATAAGTCGTACATTCCAAGCAATAGGTTGAATATAATTCTAAAAGAAGTGTAGATATTCACCGATAGCTATCTCCTAATAATACATTTAAACTTGTGATCTTTCATGTCTTTAAAATATCTGAATAATCTTTTGAATATCAGTTCCTTATACCTGAAATTTATTATACAAAAGTATTCTTATTGAATAGAGTATAGATCTGATTTGTTTCACTTCGACGGAAAAATCATTTTGATAGTGTTGCAGTTTTAATGAAGATTTCTTTTGCATGCAAGTTTTATTACTGAATAATACTGATTGCTAGAATAGAATTAAGTTTCATCAGGTAGGGGAACTTTATTTTCTTAATGGTATTGTTCAGTTTTTACATATTATCATTTCTTTTTTCTTATTTAGAAAATTTCGCTGTACTATAATAAATTTGATGTAAACGTCTAAGCAATGTTATTAATATTAGGTGTATATTTTGTATTAATGTATCTAGTAAAACTTTACTTTAAACAGAGATTCACTTTGTAATCTAATCTTCTCGAATCTTGCAAGTTTTGATAGCAACGAAAATCTATTCTCTATAAATGAAAGCTACAAGACTCAAGTTGGTTTGTTATTTTATATATAAATTTATCTATATGCTTTGTCCTAACTATTGTATCGAAACGTTGCTTTGTTTAATGAATCAATTTATATCTGACTAAAATACTTTTTATTCATTTTTTTAGTTTGAACTCTTCTTACTGTAATGAATTGCCTTCAAACTATCAACATTATCCCGATGATCGGATTAACAATCCTCCAAAACTACAGCCACTAATGTCAGCTAGACCAATAGTAGATTTTTCTACTTCATATGATACAAAACCATCGAGCACCATAGAACGTTTACAAATGTTTCTTCAAAACCAAAACAGACCATCCTATGAACATGAACAACCATCAATACGAGATTACTCATCGTCTTCTTCAGTAATCAATCCACCTCAAAATAGTAATGATTCTTCTTGGCCTTCTTCAAGGTATTCATAGTCAAAAATCGTAAGGAAATTCGAAAAATAATCAAACATCAGTGCATATTAATTTAGCAAAATTAAAAAACGCTGCTACATTTACGTTTGTAAAAAAAACTATCTTGCTGTCTATATCTCGTATTTACCGCGCTCTTTCTTTTTGTTATTAAAAAACGCATATTTCTCTTGTGTTCAGTTTACGAATAGAAGTTTAACAACGACACTGAAAGTATCTAAATACTTTCTTGTTGCTGTAGAATAGAGAGATATTTAGGTCCTTTTTTGTGTTCGTAAACATTGTAAATAAATAGTTTAAGAAACTTGATATATGAAAACAAAAAACTAATAAAATAGTTGCTGAAACCTAAAAAACTTTCATATGATTATTTATCAAATTTCTGTTCACTATACAGTGGTTTATAATTTAAAAAGTTTGAATATGTTATTGAAACCTGATAACTATGAGTTGATAATAATGAATGAAAACATTGATGAATCTCATGTGTATTGTCATATAGGATACATTTAGGTGTTCCATTTAATTTTGATGATTGTTTAACAATTGAAATATCAAATTGAAAAGATGGTTTTATATTTTCAAATGCTAATCGTATTGTTTTGTGTAAATGTTTTAATGCATGTTTAGCATCAACACTACCAATCCAAAAACGAAACGTATTTAAATTTGGATAATTCTGCGGTTTTAGAACTCTTTGAAAATAATTTATTATTGAACAAGTAAGATGATAATTCATCGATATGATTTCAACAATTTCAAGTTGACAAAATCTATCGATAAGTAAAGGTGTTAATTGAAAATCACTATCCGTAATAAGAATAAATCGACGTAAACAATGGAAAATATTAGTTGAATAAAGATGATTTAATTTTGCATGAAATGTCATTGGAACTTTTTTAACATCAAATACTAATGACTCTAAATGATTTGAATTCTCTAGATTGAGATCATCATTATACAGTTCATAATTTGGCATACGTATGCTTAAATGATGTAAATCTAATGTTCGAATAAGTCTACGAATAGAATAACGAATTAAATCTTCATAATGAAATAATAATAATTCATTATTATTTAAATATTGATGAATTGATGAATGACGAATACAATGCAATTTATATTGATCAAGAAACATTGAACATGATTGTTTCATATTTGATATATGTGAGACTAGATTAAGTGAAAGAAGATTTTTATTCAATGAATGCATTTCATATGGAACAGAAGTTGGCTCTGTTTGACAATGACATTTTAATTGATCGATATATAGAAGTAAACAAGGAGAAAGACTTAATGATCGCAGTAAATGTAAGCAATCAAACAAATATTTGAAATCGAAAGAATGACAATGAATACCGGTTAAGTTTAGATTCGTTAATTTATTCAGCCAAACTTCTTTGAAAGATAATTGAAAAATAGATGATTGTGTATCATCAATGAATTCAAGAGAAATTTCATCTATAATAGTTGAAGATGGCTAAACGAAAAAATAAAATGTGTAAAACGATACTACACGGTTAAAAAAATCTGCCATAGTTAATACTTGTCAAGAAGAAGCGTCAAGTTTCTGTCATATATTTGCTATGATGCAAAGCTGATAGATTTCCAATAGTTAAACTAACTATTTCTTCTCAAATGATTAGAAATAAACTGTATTTTAATTCACATATATGACTTATCTTAAGGATGGCAAAGACAGTTTGTAGAAATTATGATCCAGAGACTTTTCCTAAAGCTAAAGCTGACAAAAATTATAGTTGTAGATATAATTATCTAGCCGAGATAACTCTACAGCATGACTAATGAAAACGTTTACCTCTTCGATATCTAGAGATGAATCCGATAAAATAGTTGTTTCCATTTCTTCGACTTCATCTTCTTCTAATGTCGAAATATTATCAAAACAGTTTTCGAACACAGAACTAAAGTGTGCTGTTGAAGCTGTTGTTAATTTGTTATTGCCTTGTTTCTTCCATCTAACAACGAGTCTTGTTGATTGCCATTCATTTAAATTAATAGTTAAATTTCGAAGAGTATTTTGACGATGACAAAAAAGTATTTCATCGAGTCTTGCTAATTCTGTTCGACTTTTTACATCTACATTACCAAGATCAAGTATTTGTATTTGATAAAGATCAAGAATATTAATTGAATCTGATGTTGATGGTACGCATGGTAATACTAATGTTTGTAGTTGCAATTTATTCACCGAAGAATCTTTTGTATTTAATGTTAAATTTACATTTGACATCGGTCGAAAATAAACTATTAAATGATTCAATGTCGGTTGTAAAAATAAATTTATCTGTTCAAAAGTTGGTCTCATCGAAGTGTCAAGTGAAAAAAATCGATTTTTAAAATCATAACCGTTTTCTTCAATAGATATTAATTTATAATTATTGTTCATATTAGATATATATGAACATACTGAACGAAAACACAGTCGAGCACTTGGATCAGAAAGACAAGCTCCTAAAAAACACTGATTAGATAAATTGAGTCTCTATGAGATCAATTGTATGTGTACCTTTTTTATCTTGCAGTACTAAAGATACATGTTTTAGTTCGTTAATCTCATTTAATGATGCACATATATCTTTGAACACATCATGATCAATTGGTGATGAACGAGTAAATGACGATAATATTATTAAACTATCAAGTGATATTAATAGAGTAATATATTTTAAAAAAGGAAAAAGTACTTTAATATCATTAATTAAGGTACTATTCGATAATGCAACGTTGCCAGTATGAAACGAGATTAATAAACGAAAATTAGAAAGTAATCGACGCATATCGGCTACAATCATCCAATTGAGATTATCAATACGAAGGTCTATGCAATGAATAGCAATATTTTTAGCAAACGATAATAAAATATGCTTATTGTGTAATGAAGATAAGTGAATACGACTGAAAAATAAAAGAAAGCTTTTTTCAAATAAAATCTTTCAAATTTGTTCACCTCCAAAATGAACGTAAATTAATCATTCTTGCTAGTTCATAGTCGAGTGCTTGAAGAAAATGCCACATATCTGTTGATGATGAGCATTTCGGTACAATGGTATAGAGTAAATCTTCATGTAAACATTTAACTGTTGTCATCTGAAGGAAAGTTCTCTTCATTTATTATTTTATTCAAAAAAATGCATCAAATTTTTTCTCCGTTTTCTAAAAAGATAGGAAACGGAAGAAAATAGAAATAAAATAATTATTTATCGCAATAAAATCAACAAAATGATTCCCATCATCATCGTTTGAAATAATAAATGCTTTTGAACTATGAGAAAAAAAATAATGACGCTGTTGTGAAACTATATGTTGAAGTTAATGAAATATTAGAAAGTCATAGAATATTCATTTATAGCAGCATCCTAATCTTCTTTTTTTGCTGCTGATAGGAAACTTTATATTATTGTTGAAATGTACGTGAATTAGGAAGATAAATATCTTTTGTTAGTCGACAATTGGAAAGTTTTGTTGCTAAACCATTTAATTTGATTTCTTCCGAACTAATAAATATTTTTATCAATATAGTACATATTTATATCGAATTCATCTCGAGTTTGATCAAGCTTCAATACGATTATTGATTAAACTTTGATACCGATTGGCAATTATTTCGACTGATTCTTTTCTTGTATCATTGATTTGTTTAATGTTTTAATTCATTAAATTGGGAAACGAAACAGAAAAGTCGAATTCATCCTGGCTCTGTTTTCATTGGTTGATAAAATTTCCAACTAATACATAATTGTATGATGTCGTAGATTGGCATTGAATGCAAATCCTTGCGATCAATTATACGTAGATGTTACTATCAAGATAGGATAACTAGAAATATTTATTTTTATATCCGTTAATACTACAAATACCTTTTGAAGCAATGCAGTTTCTTGGAACATTAAATAATAAACATTATTATCTTGCTTATTAAATAGCTATTTGTAATTAGTTAATTAGCAGCTTTTTATTTCACATACTAATAATGTATTTTCAAGAGATACGATTCGCATACTTAATAAAATAAATAAAATTGAATTACTAGATGAAATGAAAAATCTTTGCCAAGAGAATTTAGGAGTGTAACTGCTAATTCATAAATGAATATGTGCTGTAGAATAGATATCAAATCAATTAATTGTTTAGTTAAAAGTTTTAGGATCATCCTTGACTACAGTTTTAGGTACCCATTGATACAGATCAAAGATTGGTAGAACAATGTTAATTACCATTAGATTTCATAGAGCTATTTATGGTGATAAATTTTGTTGAAAAATATTTTATTAATAAAATTAAAAATAAATTTTGATTGTAATAATTAACGATAATAGTTCATCATAGTTAGATTCACAAAAATAACTAGAGACTTCTTTTTCAGATGACCGCTGATTATCAACTACTTAAATGTGACTCACATCATCAAGAACGTGGTAAAGTCCTATTTGGTAATCAAGTCCTTGATTTTTGATTGACTTAAACACTCTCACTTATGATTCGGTCACTCTTCGATTAAACAATTGTTTCTTAGTTTTATTTTCTTACAATGAGTTGATAGATCTAAAAAAAAAACATGACTGAAGGTCTTTTAGAAACAACAAATCATTAAAATATTGATGCTTTAAATTCGTTTGAAAGAATTTGTCTATATAAACTTAATCAAAAATAATATCTTGAAAGATTGTCATTCTTCATGAACGCTAAAATAATAGATTCGAAGGTTATTTTTTTGTCAATCAATATTCACTGTCTCGTTTTCTTCTGATTGTAGACATGGTAAGAGTGCCCATCAGATAGTGATTAATCATATCTTTTTGATATTTATTGCCATATTATTAGAATGAATCTATGGGCTCGTTATTTTTGTAATACTATTGAAGAAACTGGTTATCTATTTAGGACAATTCAAAAGTAGTGACAGTGACATTTAAATCGCGTTAAGCTGAATTCAGTAAACTTTCTTTTTGGATTTGTAATTAATATAGTAAGAACAATGTTTTAACATTCTGTGATATTTTATTTTTGTTCAATCAAAATTCTAATAAGAAATTTTCAATTTATGTTCGGTAATGATGGGAAAGAGTTACTAGAAGATTCATGGTCATACTAATACAGGATTCCAGTATTGCTATTGAATGATATTTACGGATATTAACATTGAATGGGGTCGACTATTGGCTGGTATTCAATAGCATTGAATAGTATTTAGTAATGCTAATTATCGTAAATACAAAATATTGCTAATAATAATTTTGCTAAACACCGTTCAATGTCAATATTATTCAATAGAATACAATACCATTCAATATCAATACTAGTGATCATTGTTCAACAACATGCAGTAGCATTTCACGATCTGCCAACACCAATACTGGTCAATGCTATTCAATAGCTTTACCTCAATATTGTATTGGTGTTGTGACATGTCATAATCTAACCTTCATAAATCAAAAGCAAATAGGTTTTAATGAAAGGTTTCTAATTATGGTAGGAACTACAAATTGATCGAATGTTATACAAAGATAAAGGCTTGTTTTGACAATTAATGTATATTAAAACTTTTCTTAAGCTTAATACACTTTCTTACAGAACCACTGCAACTAATTTTGGACTCGTCTAATGATATTGAAATTTTCTGAAATTAACAGATTATATTCTTGCACACATATACTCGCGATGTTTTCTTGAATTCATTATTTTCGAGTTTGTTTGATTTTATCAGAATTCGATTCCAATTAAAAGCTTCACACAAAGATATCATAGTCAATCAATATTTTGTGTCAAACCGATCCAATGTTAGATATCTGAATACGATATATCGAATAGTCAGACAAATCCTAAATAGGCTAGAATGAACAAGAAAATTTTTAACAAGATTTTTATTAGTTAGAAATGCAAATATTTCAATTTTAACACAGGAAGACTTAATATGGGTTATTTTTATGTCAACATGTATCAAAAGAAATTTTATTATAGATATATTAAATTAATTTATATAGTTAAGTGCGGTGATATTAATTGTGTATAGCGACTATTTTTCTTACACAAAGAAAAAAAGAGGTATACAACCAGAATGTAACGTTCATTAGCGTACTACCAATAATTTCAAATTACTTCCAAACTATGATACTCTTTGAGAGACTTAATCTTATTTTTTTTCCCTTGATAAGCATTTAAGAATACTTTAGAATGTTCGACAATGTTTTGTTAATTGTATTTTTTTTTGACAATAGAAAATTCGATAATCTAATATTGACTGTAATTGATCAGTTTCTTGGATTTTCATGTACGATATATACAATGTTGCAAGCAATTCAATGGCACATGATTTGAATTAACTGAATAATATTCTTTTTAATGAAGACCTAGTGAGATACAAGAATGCAAGCATACACTTGATCGACTACTTATATTAATGTTTATATATAATCAACTTTGAAATTAGTATTCTGAAAAAATGTTAATAATTTCTTCTTTTTTCTCTTCATCTACAAATGAACTGAACAAATAAGGGAAAAGAAAATAATAACTGTTAATCCATAGAAGCCATATATATTTTATTTATTTTCTTCATAAATTACACTATACTAAAATAGGTTTCTGTTTATATTTGGTCAAGGCTGTTGAAAGAAGACACACATGCAAATAAATGTATAAAAATTGAAGCAATTCAAATAAAAGCTCTATTCAGAGTGTATAAATTCAACACATTGTAGTTGTTGTGTACCATTTGCGACTATAACAGTATTTCTATTATGAATTGTTAGAGCTCGTCCGAGTCGAAACAATTTCACATATTCTTTTTTGCCACTTTGATCAACAATCCATAATTTCTTTCTACCATTTGTTATAAAAAATAATCCATTATTACTAACACGAACTTCATGATCAATGTCACATTCACCCAACCGTATAGTACATAATTCATGTAAATCATTGCTATCGCAAAGTGTTAGATGAAAATTTTTACGATTATATAACGTATTGGTCGTTGGTCGAAATTGAAATAGAGTTGCTAAAACATTCGAGCTTATACAAAATGATGTACTATTATCCAAAAATCGTGGATAATCATTTAAATTGAAAATTCTTATACAATCAAATGTTTTCGTTGTATATGTACGTAGTTGACTTGATCGTGGAGTATCCGTCCAAATCCAAATATAATTTTTATCAGCCGATAATCGAGCATAGGACCAATTTTGTGTTAGTTGCACTCTGATATCAATTGTTGACATCATAACAGTACACGTATAAACACCGGTTTTAGTTGCACAAACAAATTGTGATGAACCAGGAGAATAAATTAAATCAAGAACAGGATGATGTGGCCATCGACATGATATTTCGTTTGTTGTTGATGTACCATTAGCTTGCTTAGTAGGTAATATATTCTTTATACAACAAAGCGTTTTTGATGTATCAGAATAATAAAGTAATTGTTCACCATCACTTGCAATTCGATCAACTTCATTTTGTGTTAATATTGTACCTTGTTGAGTATAACGTGAACTTAAACAATTTTCTGCATTAATTCGATTATTTATTTGATCTGTTTCATCGAATAAATAATGATCAACATCATCATCATCATCATCAATATCACGCGTATAATCAATCATAGGATCGGTTTGAATTTGTTTATTCATAAATATATTTGGATTAAGTTCTTCAACTTCTGTTTCAACATCGACTTTTTCACTTTGTAGTGCATTAGGTTTACTGAATGAGCATCTTGTTGTAACGGTTTTACCTGGATAGCTAGCAGCAAATTTTTTCGTTGATTTATATGCATCTGAAACAGGTTGACAATATAAATCAATTTTATTTCGTGGAAATGTTGACATTCTTATGTACATTTTCGGCGATGAAAATACATTAAGACGATATTCAATATCCTTTATTTGTTTTCGTTGTGTTTCAAGTTCAACCTTATGATTTTTTGTTATACCATCATGAGTCCATTGTTGTTGGGCTTGAGCAATAAGTGGTTTGATCTCTGTCATCATATCCGATAAAGCTATCTAGAATAATATCATTGATTTTTAAGTCTTTCAAAGTTCTTTTATTTTGTCATAAAACTTACGTTAGCATCATTAAATTGTTGTTTAACATAATTAATACTTTCACGTCGAAGATTTTCTAAATCATTGGATGCTTCATCAAATGCAGAATTCACACTGCGTAGACATTGTTCTTGAAATTGTCCGAGATATTGTTGTCTATCATCGCACGAATTTTTCAAACGATTAAATCTTTGTTGTAATTCAGAATATTCATAAATTAATTGACTTGTATGTTTTTCAAAACATTCATAACACATTGATAAACGACAATGTTCACAAGAAAAACATGATAAATGTCTAATTTTATCATTATTCAACAACGACGACGATGATGATGATACTGAGCACACTTGACAATACTGATCATTAAGTGATGGTATTCGTGGACGATAGCTCATGGTTGATTATAATGGTACGAATGTATGCGGCTGAAAATTTATTATGCGACTATTTATAAAAAAAAAGGAGAAGAAAATTTGCCGTCGTTATTGTCACCGTCAAAACTGACAATTTTTTCTTTTTCTACTTTTCCTTTTACTCGTCTATTTGATTTATGTTGAGAAGAATAGTAGTTGTAGTAAAAAAGAAAAAAAAGGCGAACAACAAAAACTGGAATGCGGTTACGATCAACAATCTTCAATCGGAGAGAGAAGTACTCTTCTCTTTCTGTAAATGTGTGTCCAAAATTCTTGAAACTATTGTTGATTCAAATTAAAGTAGAATAATTGAATTTCTGTTTTCTTCAATTCAGTGAAAGGTGATTCAAAAAAAGAAACGAAATCTAACCGAATCTATTAGTATTTTTTTGTTTTGTTTAACCATATCTTTTTTGAAAATTAGTTTCTATCGTATACGTGCACAAAACACCAATCATTATGAATGAAGTTCAATCCTCGTGGAAAGTACTTCTAGCAATAAAAGGTACCGAAAAACAAAATTCTTTTTTTTCCTTCTATTAATATGATTGAAAAACCACTAGAATGGTGATGAATTATTATATTCAGATTAAATTTTAACTTAAGTTGGAATTTATTTTTAATGCTACTCGATTTTAGTTAGAAATATAACTTATAAGTTTCTTTTCAAGGTCAAGTGTTATTATAAGAAGAATGAGATGTGTGTATTTAATCGGAGAAAAAAAAGCAAACAATCATGAGAAAACATATAGGCATACTTCACTGATTTTTTTATCATTCCATAATAACATGGTAAACTAATAAATTTATTGACGAAACTGAAAATAAATCTATTGAACTTCTGAGACTAGTTTCTACAATATCGACATCGATTTAAATTTGAGAACTATCTATTGTCGGCTTGCATTAAGGTATTGGCAACATCTATTAAAGATAATGTTTCAATTGAAGATTCATAATCTGCACAATAATGACAATATGAAAATTTGCTGTAAAATCATTGAACAGTTGGCATTGTTCGATGTTGGTATTGCTACAAATTTTCCAAGATAATCAGGTTAAGAATATTTTTGTTTTCACATGCCGATTCATTGATGATTAAATACTTTCTTTGACAAGGAAACATATTTACTCAACCCGTAATCAATAAATGTTTCTGTTTTTAAATTCATAGCACGTTGATATTTCAGCAATGATCTATGTGATCGACACATATGGCTGACAAAAATTGAAGAAGAAATGTTTTCGTAGTGAATGAAATCAAATAAGGAAAATACAATAGATCCTCAAATTGAAATAAGTGAAAGTAACCATAAGAAGAAATCCAACATTGAATTAAACATCAATCTATCATCAATTATTTATTTGAATTTAGTAAACATTTTATATCAGACATTGGGCCTATTCAAATTATTGCTTTGACTACCGTAAAATTGACCAGTTCAATCCATGATTAGTTTTCTAATTGAGTATTGCTCAAAAAATTTCAAAATCTGATGAAGATTATAATTTCGTGGTAAGTTTACGTCATTGAATAGGAAAAATACTACTGATAAGTATTATGACGGAATCAATGTTAGTTTTTCTTTCAATAAGGAAAGAAAGATCAACATTTGAGAATTATATTTATTCAATATTTTTCATAATGTTGTAATTTTTTTTATTTGAAAATGCTGAAATTCTTCGTTGTATTGGATTGAGTTTCTTTTTATGCAAAGGTATGAAATAAAAATTTGATCCTCATTGTTTCACATGTTCCAGAATAATGAGTGTATCATCATCTGTCAATTGCGATCATCATATCTTAAGTGTGCTAGTACACATATGTTTGTCTAAATTTTCATTTGAAAGTAAACTTCCATAGCTATTCTCAGTTCAAATTTTCTTGAAAAACATGAATTCGATATATTGGATTATCATGGGAATCACCAACAAATAGTACTAACTTATAAAATAAGAAAACGATAAAAATAAAAATATTTTGAGGGTGTATATTTTTGTTGAACATGATGTTTATATGAGTAATAACACATTTGAATTACAATGACTGCTAACCACGTGAACTGATCAAGGGCGCATCACTGTTGACAATGACTATTTTCTGTCTCGAAGAATGCATCCAAACTATATTTTAATATGATAAAGAATAGTATGGCTTCATGAGTAGACACGTTCCAAGTATAAATTTCATACATACTTAACAGCTGAATAAGTTTATGAATACTTCTGAGTAATATTTCATATAGACAGAAGAAGACTTAATCTATCAAATCTATGTTTGATTTTAGTTATCAGTGAAATTTCGATGACATATTGATTTTTTATTTACTGAAAAGATTTTTTCAAGAGATTTATTTACTTTGAATACTAGATTACAAGACAAAAATAGATTAAAATAAGTCAATTATTTTGTGATAATTATGTTCTATAATAGCAACAGTGAGAACGAACGAAACAACATCTGTATTCAAGCATCTATAATTTTTTCATCACAACAACCAACAATAACTAAATCCAATTAAAATAAGTAAAGAACAAAATATATATCTCAAAAAATAAAGACAAAATGCTGGTCAAGAACATTAAACAAAAACAAACTATTAAACATATGAGATTATACGCTTTGTATAATACAACAATCTATATTGGTATTCATTGACTACTATCTTTTGTTTACACATTTATTATTTTCAAAAAGAAGTAAATAGATATATTATTATTTTTTTACATTTCCATACTTTTCTGACTAAGAAAAAACCGATCTGACTAAAAAAAGTAAAAAAGTAAAATCATTATTTATCGCGTAGCATTATCTTGTTATTCTAATTGTTTCAATTCTTGTAAAACAGAAATATTTGACATAGTATATGGGTCAATTTTATTTCAAGAGACATGTTGGTCGTTGAAATAAACGTTTTGTATAAATATATCGTTTTGGTGTTACTATAATATCGACTGGTAAATCGTGATTTTTCATACCATTATTTGGTAAATCATTAATTAATTGACTTTCATGACATGTTGTTATAACTGTTGTTTTCTTTGTAATGCAATCCATTTGCGACGTGATAACATATTCTAAATCACCATAACCTTTACCCTTACCTACTCAAGCACCAGTTATTGGATTAACAACAATTGATGCAACAACAACTATATCAACATGAATTAGTTTTAATGCTGATAATTGTACAACAGTGCCAAATTCAGCAGCACCCGGCTTTGTTGCCGCAAATTCAAATTGATTTCGACGTAAAAATTTCGGATCTAGTTTATAGAACAGAACTGACTCTGAAAACAGAAAACAGAAAACAGAAAAAATAATTATAATTAATTTCTCATTCTGAACATCAAGTACAAATAACGGATATTTCCTATAAACTAGGTAAACATGTACTTCAACTCAAAACGATCTCATTTTCTATTCAACATTTTTTCTTTAACATCTATTAAATATCAATATGGTCACTATTGCGAGGTAGTCATGTTTTAATTAAAATGTGAAAAAATCTCACTGCTTACAAAAATATTAGCGCATCCGATTATGATTCAATCGAGTTTTAGATGCCAGTTTCAAAGTATTAAATTAATCATTAATAAAAACCTTTCTACATAGATAAAAATGAATTCAATCATTATGACTGAGTCTTCTAGGAAATCTACAGCTTAATCAATGAATGTTGGCGCTAGTGCTGCGTAAATTTTTTCGAATGAATGTGTCAAAAGTTGCTAAAAAACGATTACATTCCAGCAAGAAGAATACTAACCAAGTGCAGGTGTTGGCATTAAAAGTACTTTATTATAGCTCAATGTTAACTAACGAAGAGGTTCTTGAGCAAGGGATGGATTTATTTTGATAACATGTGCTCGTTTAAAACAATCTAAACAAGTAACATTTTCAGCAGCTAATTCACAGTAACGAAAATTTAGTATTTGATCATGAGATGGACGTGGAAAACGAGCTTTATTTGTAAAAACAGAATGATGAAGTTTCTATATCAAATTAAATCTTTTTTCTTCTTCTTCTTCTTTACTTCATTTCCATTATATCCCAAACAAGTTGTCGTGCTTCGTTTTAAATGATTTCATTTGTGTTTGATAATTCAGATTTTACTGATTTTATTTGCTGATTTTTTTATTCCAACCTTTGTTTAAGCCAAAGATCGATTTTAATTAGAATTTCGCTTATACTTTTAGATTTCAGTGTATGATTACATGTTATTAAATCATTTACAATATCCTGAATACATATCCATTGATGAACATATTGTCGATGTTGATGATGCATTTTATATGTTTGCGTGTTAGTATTATTATCGACTTGATTAGTTGATTTTTCAGATGTGTATTCGTCATCAATCATTAAATTTGGATAGCCAATCGGGTTGCATAAAACTGATGAAGTATGACCAACATCTAGAGCACAAACTAAAATAAAAAGTAAAGATTTGTTTGAGTTAAGTTATTCTGTCAGAAATGCAAATCAAGATAAATGTATATAACACAACGGAATCTGTACTCTTGCATAAATTACATGGTCTTTATTCTTAGGATTCCTTCTTTGACTAATGTTTTCTATTGTCTCTGAGTAAAAAATGATTTGGCGCGCCTGAAAAGAAAAGAATCACTAGACTGAAGCTTAGAAAGATTCGAAAGTATCTCGTCAAGCGTCAAAGAAATAAAACAATTGATAGAGAACAAGAGAAGATTTCTTATAACAAAGATTCATCAGAAGAAAGCAGTTCGCATTTTTTTCGATCTAGTATTATGAGCGTCTGTGTAGGCATTCCTCTTGAATGTTTTATTTTGTTTTCTTGACAGGACTTCAGTTAAGCTTTGTCATGATGAATATAAAAACGCATTTCTATGAATTGATCTTCATAGTTTTAAGGTTTTTCTAGTCTAAGTCAACTATGTTTAACTATTTTACAATCAGTACCATCCTTAAATATTACAACAACTTTTCGACAAGACTGGTGAGTTACATGTGACATGAATGTATCTGATCCAAGAGCCCATTTCCTAAAGAATAAATTTGATAGATATTTGCATTCAATAATTAGATTAGAATCAAATTTTATCTAACTAATCATTGATCGATCTGGAATTCTAGATTTCCTTTGAAAAGAAAAATCAATAAGTATCTACCACATAAATCCGAAGTCGGATCGGTTGAATAAAGCATACATCTATGCTTAAAATTTAATCGTTGTTCAATCATTTCTAATAAAATATCATGTGAATCATTATTTCCTTGGGTTGCGGAACATGATAATGCACGCCGACTAGGTTTTTCAGACTTGTTTGGTTCGGAACTATTTTTCATCGTTGTTGATGTTAGATTTGTTGAAGTTAGTTTCAATATTGTGAGTCAATCAATGTGCAATACACCACAGAGAAAGTCTGACGAACGAATTACATCACAAACTGTTCTTTGCGAACCTTGTTTACAAATTTCGACTTCGTATGGTGATAGAAAATAACGATTTTGTCTCCGTGAAAAATTATAATAAAATAATATATGAGACAAACCTTCAATTATGGTCACCGAAAAAAACATAAGCTTCATGTTGTTGATTATCATGTTTTTTAGATATAATAATAAAAATCTACAAACAACTATATACAAAAATCTTATTAAGGTCTTTCTCTTCAAGAGTTTTGTTTTGATTAAAAGAACTATAACACTAGAAAATAAAATAAACGTACAAAATGTTTTGTTTTTAGGAAAAAAAGACAACGAAAAAGCACCGAACCATCTGTTTTAATTATATAAACAAATAAAACTTCTTTTCAGAATTAAAAATAAATTTAATATTTCTTGGCTTTATATGTTACATATGTATATATATCTATAGAAGGTAATATTACACATTTGCATGTTATTTTGTATGATAGAATGAGAAAAATTAAATTAAAAAAAAGAACAAAATAAAGATTTATCTATGGATTACCCGTTAGAAAGTACATCAATCTCATAAGTTCATTTATCAATGGTTGACTTAAACCATATTTATCAGGATTAAATTGGCTAAAATTATGAGTATGTAAAATCAATTCAAATAGGCAGCGCTCTTTAAGTGTTAAGATCCAGCGTGAGTGTTCTAAATTAAGTTTTGTACACAAATGAATAAGATCATCAATACGAATAGATGATATTTTTATTTCTAATGAATTTAATCGAGTTTTATTTTTCAAATTTCTACTAGAACTTAATGAAAAAAATGGATGCTCAATTGATAATTGCAGTTCAATACGTTTATCAGGTTGAAATTGAAACATTTGTTTTAATAAATCGTATAAATAATCTTTTTTATTAAAATCAAGTGATTGTATTACATATTGATTAAATATTTGTTTTAATAAATGACCAAGACGTTGTTGATGACTGTCACATTTTATATTGGAAAATAATTGTTTAACATGAGGTGGAAAACAATCAATCAATGATATGGTTAAACCGCCAACAAATTGTACTATACAAAATAATTGTAAGGATGGATCATCATTTTGCGGACGGAATAGTATTGTGTTGATCATCATTTCAACTATAATACAACCTATGGACCATACATCTTCTTTAGAATTATCTGTTGATTCAGCACTAAACAATAAAAGAAAATTAATTTGAATTTTACCATGAAGTTTCATATGTTTAAGGGTACCATGCAAAAGTATCAGCAGAGTATATGGAAGTGAGTGCCAAGAGAAAAATTGAAACTATACGTTTCAAATGCCTGCTCTCTGACCTATACATTTTCAATGACATCATCGTTGTTATTTATTTGGTCAACACCGATCAAATACACTAATACGACCTTGTTGAAAAAAGACCATCAGTGAATACCGAGAATCTAAAGCTATCAATTATAATCTATTGATTTCTCCATAAAAGGCTTTTACAAATACATACAACCCCAGTTCAATGAAAAACAAAAATGCTCACTGTAGCGCGCTCGGAGAGATATTTAGGATACAAGACCTTTCTAAAACTATATTGTGCTATTATACTAACAACAAGATCTTCTATTACGAAATTTTAATAATTCATTAGATCATCCTAATAAATCTGGTTTCATAAGAGTAAATGCTTTATGAATTTCGTGTATTGTATTATTTTCATGCATGTTGAACGGTTAATTTAGAAAACCTGAACGGCATTCTATTCTATTCCTTAAGCTGTGTTCTACAAAAATATACTTTTCATTTGTATTCATTGCGTGGCTCATTCGATAGACTACCAAAATAGTACTATAAAAGGATTTAGAAAAAAAAAACTTCTAATAACTCAAAGTGTACTTCAGTCTTTGGCCAGATAGATAAAGAAGCGAGCTCATTACAAAAACAATGAGGATTTTTATTTGTAGACGCTAGTTTAAGAAAGGATAAAATTCAGTGAAACAGTAACATATTCAGCCTTCTGGCAGCGTAGTCGTCATCATTGTAATAGTGATGGAACTTAATACATTTTCGTATCCTATATGAGTCTGAGTTGTATACGAACAAATTAGACTTTTTTGAAAATTTATCGATTAAATAGAAACACTAGCAGTTTTTATGTTGCAAATAAGCGTCAGATTCTGATAGAAAAAAAATATAAATTATTGTTGAAATTTCAATAGCAATACTAAAACAAAACTTTTTGGGGATCTCACCGTTTGGTAGGCAGGTTCAACATTATTATATCTTATCAAAATACTAACTAAATTTTTAAAAACAGATAATTCAATATATGATTCGCAGCTATGCAGGAAAAGAGGTAGACTAGTTATTTCTTCTTTGTCTCTTTTTTTACAAAAAGATTAATTAAAATATTAAATGAAAGGAATATATGGAAATTTTTGTGATAATCAAATGAACAATAAACATGTAAATCTTACTTCAAAAGCGATTCATTTTTTACAATCATTCGTATTAAGCTTTCCGGTACATGCCTCCATAAATGATGATATCTTATAAGTCCACCATTGAGTTTTATTGGTGATATTGTTGGTGAACATAATCGAATTCGGTCGTCATCCGTTAATTCAATATTTGTTGTATACCTTTATATGAATTAAAAATCGACATAGATTAACAATAGAAAGAAAAAGAAACACATACCAAGGTGTCAATGGATAAAGACCTTTCGACTGTAAATAAATTGTTCCACTGATAATTTGCAATGATAGACGATGAATACGTTCAAGTGAAAATGTTTCGGATTCAATTGCATGACGTAATGTACCTTGTATGATACTTGCTATTGAATAAAGACATGCATCAGCAATATACCAAGATAATATTCGACGAACATTTGGATGTGATAATTGACTAGTTAATGAAATTCGTTCATAGAGATCATTTACATACTGTTGTGTACTGATTTTCGATTTTAAACAGAGATATTTAGTTACATGTACAGATTGTTGTAATATTGGATCAATAGCATTTATGGATGGACTATCAATACCGCCTACAAATAAAATATGAATAGAATTAAATATAAATAAAATAGGAAAAAGTTTAACCATGAAACAAAGAATCAGATCTTAGATCATGACGAATATCTAATTCGCGAGGTATTGTAAATGCTAAATTTGTATCCGCTTCTTGATTATCATTTTCTTGGTGTTGAATGACTGAATATTGTTTGAAACGAGATGGCCTAAAAGAATATACGTATATAATTAAAGTTTTCGAGAAGAAGAGATGAAACAAAGAGTTCCTATCTAAAATTTCGGCAAATAATCAAAGATTTCATCTTTGAAATCGCTGTATGATTCTCTAACAACTTATATACTGGCTATTTTAAATGCAAGTCAGAAAAGTTGAAAAATAGAAAATTTCCTTTTTGAAATTAAAATAAAGAATATCTCGATTATTTTTACGTTTTCTTATTTTTGAATCATATATATATATATATATATATAATAATTATTGTTCAAGGGCCAAATTATTTGTTATAAAAAACAGAAAAAAACAATCCGAATTCAAATTTGTGATTCGGTTACTAAATTATTAACGAACTATGCTACTTACCACATGATAAGAAAATATATGAACAATCATATGTCAGTCGTTAATTATGAAAAATCTACAATAAGAAGAGATGAAAGATTTTCGCTGTTCTTCATGCCCAAGTATGCTAAATGCCTTTTTTTCTAAGTAAAGAGATTCTTGATTCTGTCTTATCTTCAAATTTTTTACTATTTAAAAGGGTTAATATATCCAAGTATAGGAAGAGTTTATATATAGATGAGAGTAAATTAGATAAAATTAACATATCAGTCAAAGTAAGCTGGTGCGTTTGTGGAGAAGATTACCACGTAGAGAAACATATCTTGAACTGATAATAAGCACGAATAAAAATGTATATGTTTTGAAAAACAAATATTTTTGTTTATCGCGCTCATATTCTCTCGTCATATTCCATGTTTTGTTTTCATGAAAAATATTTTCAGTTTATGTAAAGAATTAATAAAAACATGCCAATCTCAATTGTTTTCGTTCTAGTGAATAAAATGTTTTTTTTTACAAAAATCCATCTACGAGTCACGTGTGTTAAAAGAAGAAAATCAAAATTGTATACTTCGTGACAACAGAATGACGATGAAAAACAAATTTTTTTAGCATCGTCAACAAATAAATGACAGATATGAACGAACCAATAGGATCGGTTAAAACGAATTCGGTTCGATGGATTGTTAAAAGAAAGAAGGTAAACCAGTGTAATATAGACATATTTATACTGGCAATTCAATATTTCAAGGTCAAAAGAGCGAACCACGTCGTCCCTAATGTTAAGATAAATGGTCCACTATTAATTGGTCTGTGTTTTCCTCTAACAGACAATGAATACACAGTATTCCTTCGTACTTATTATACATTCGTTGACGTCGTTTTTTCTCTGTTCGTTTCAGTACTGGGACGCCGTCTTTCTTTTATCATCCTTAACTCATTATTTATATTTTTTTCTGTAATAAGCAAAGTTATGAACTTATAAATTAATTCTACATCGCTATGCGACGTAAAGTCAAACATCCAATAAGAACTTAATTCGCATAATTTCTTTAGACATATAAACCCGAAAGATTTACAATATCATCTTTTTGTTAATATAGAACACTTACACATTCTCGCAAAGTAGATATGAGCTGAAAAAGCTTTTTTTAGTCTAGTTGGAACTGAGGCTATCTTGCCCGTGTCTAAAGAGAAATGAACAAAACCGATTTATAACTTCACATTTTATCGATAACCCTTGTTTACAATTTTGAACTCTACGATAAGAATCGTTCCAATTAAGATGTACAAAAATGACTCGATTCTGATTCTGAGTGAGTAGAAGAACTAAAAATGATGGGTCTTACTAGACCTATTCTGTTTGGCTTTGTGGAACACGAATCATGATGTTAATTCAACATCTATCTCTTTATATCATCAATTTTTCTATAGAAAAACAAAAGTGCAAAGGATCACGAGTTTTTTTTTATAAACGAGATAATGAGCGCAACGCAAAATATAGGCATGAAAAGGGCTACAAATGAATCAGCCAAGAAGATGAACAAGTTAGATCTGCATACAATGACATAACGAACGGCGAGTAAGGGCAGTGCATAATATCTGTTTCAACAGTGTAAAAATAGTAATAGTAAGCGTAAACAGCAGATTAGTGAAATAAGAGTTACAGTACACAATTCTTGAAGTTTTGCTATAAACGAGTGTCAATTGTTGAAAAATGTGATAGATAAAAGTAATTTTAAGGTGAAGCGCATACACTGTTCGAGAAGCGAGTGATACAATTACGCGTAGAGAAAAAGAAAAATTCTACAACACCATTACGCATATGTCTAGAATAGAGAAAAAGCGGAGAGGAAAAATTCTACTCAATTTTATTTGCACAAACTAATCAGCGAGTGCCTGTCTTTTAATATTTTTCTTTTAAATTTTTTGGTATGAATAACCGGACAAGAAAATATTACAGCCAGAAGACCACACAAATAATGATAGTATGCTGTGCCAATAGTCGACAATAAAAATGTTTGTATTATAATTGAGAGTTAGATAATGAGATAATTGTATCTAGATGAATTGAACAAACATACAAAAGACTTTTTTTATACAGAAGAAAGAAGAAAAGAAAAAAGCAAGCTATATCAAAGAAAAAAAAGAACAAGAAAAGAGAAAGCGATTAATATTGTAAATGTGTTTTATACTAGATTCGATATTCAGATCTAATTTCGTTGGGGAACTGGCGGCCGTTCGAACGGTCGTGGTGGAATGGATGGTGTTGGACGACTGAAAATAAATACAAAAAAATAAGATAATTTATTTATTTGTTCCTGTACAATAAAATAGTAACACTAATGTTGAATATTAATACAACACATTTCAGAGATTAAAACTGTACGACAGATACATCAAGCAATAACGACGTTTATTCGTTATTTCATCTAAAACAAAGCTTACATCGGCGAGATAGGTGGTGGCAAACCCCCAGGCTGTGGACTTGCTCTGCCTTGTAGATTCATAGCTGGTCTGCAAAAATAAGAATAGCATTCGTAATCTAGTGCGATGTTAGTATAAGCATAAAATGTGCACATGCTGTTAGTAAACTCAACCATGCTACTAAAGAAAAAGTAATGAAGAAAACCAATCGTGCGATCCATATTAATCGTGGATAGATTCTTGTTGAATTGGTTTTAAATTTTTTTTTAAATTATATTTGAAACTTACGCTGGTATTGGAGGAGTTGAAGTGCCATTCTGATACTGAGATGTAGTTACAGGTGTAGCAAACGGATCTAATCCGTGCAACATATTAGATGATAATTGCGATGCTGATGCTGATGACGGTAATGTTGAACTCTGAGCGCGCCTATACAAGAGTACACACATTCGCACACAACATCAAACAATAGAATGATATGAGCAAAAATTAAAATGCTGTTAGATTTCAAGCGCATATGTAAAATTATAGCTATCCTTGATCCATATTATAGTCTAGAGGCGATTGACACTCACGCTACTTGTCTGGCCAATTTTGAATTTAATTCCGAGAATATATTATTATTATTTGATGATGAAATTGGCGTAGGTTTATGATTTGAGGTAGGCCTGATATAGGGGATTCAGATAAAGAAAGGTACAATTCATTTACATAAGCATACATTAATGTGAGAACAAAATTACAACTGTGAATTACTTACTGTGGCATAATGGGTGCTGGTAGATTTGATGTATTTGCACCAAATCCAATAGGTATCGGACTTGGACGAAGTGGAGGTGGTGGTGGTGGTGGAGGTTCACGTGTTGAAAATGAATTCACAGATGGCATAGGCGCCTGCTGTTTCCGCTGAGGATTCGGACTGGGTGGACGGTTACTATAAAATAAAAGGGGCTAATTAAACAATAAAACAAGATGTTCAACTACATACAATCCCGATGATGATTGATAATAAGGAGGATCAAGTGGACTACTTGAATAGCCCGACGATGATGGAAAGCCTCCAAAATGACTCGAATTAGTTGAGAATCCAGTTGACAATACCGATGCAGGCATAGCTGATCCAACTACTTTTCGTGCATTGATTTGGAAATTTTCGATTATATTCAAAGCCTAAAAATATAGTATAAGAAAATAAACCTTTTTAAAAGATGCAACAATTTGTTTTTGCTTAACCAGAACAGACTAGATTGAATTTAACACTCGATTGAATCATAATACTTTTTATCTAAATACTATCTTATTCTTTGGTAATAACAGACTACGATCGATGTAAATTATCTAAAGCACCAACTGACTTTATTGTTTACGAAAATATTGATCTAACATGTTTCAAACTCATAGTTAGTCTCTCGACAACTGATAAAGCAATTCTTTCAGCTAATGGTTTTTTTGGGAATCCAGATTGTCCATTAAATAGACCGAAATCAAATTCAAGTTTGGCATACAGAAATTATAATCAACTAGATTTATGACCACAAAGAGTTCCATTATCAGCCCAACAAACTTTAGTGTTTGTCTCCATATTCATCGTTAGAATAGATTGCTAGAAACTTCATTTGTGATTATTCGACAAACAAATGTAAGCTCTAGAGTCGCTTTTTTATCAAAAACATACATTCTTGATTGCTTCGAATTCAGCAAGTTTTGATTGGCGCCGTTGTTTTTCTTCTTCGGATTCTTGTAATAGTGCTTTCTAAACATAATAAAATCGATATCGAGCATTCATTGAAAATATGATTCCTACTGGATCGGGGACAGCATAAAGATGTGCTAATAATTCTTTAGCCACAAATTTTTGTAACTAAAATAAAGCAAACATACATACGATAAAAATTCGAAAAAGAAAAAAGATATTTTACTAACATTTTGAACAATATGATACATAATTGTTTTTGGAATGTAATCGCGTGTCATTTTGGCAACAATTTGCATATATGATGTTACTAATTTATTTATTGTTTCGACTTGTCGTTCCATATGTGGATCAACAGGACCAACTTCAGCAGTTGCCTATCAAGATTAAATAAATTATTGAGAAATCCTAAAATAATTGCTATCATTTATTTAGTTACTTGTGTATCTTCTGATGGTTGTTCACGTTCTGGATATACACCAGCACGTAAAAATGAAGCTTTCCATGTATCGAGTTCATCAGTGTTATCAACTGATAATTCGAGAGTTTTATGTTCTTTAAAAACATTTCTAAAATAAAAATCTTTGATTTTTACGAAACATCATGAAATAAAAACAAAACTAATTACTTTGAATCAATATTAAATATTGCGAATTGTGGTCGCTTAGCCATAAAACCACCTTCAACATCACGAATTTTAAGATTTTCTAAAGGTAACATATATTTTTTGTCTTTTTCCTATAAGAATTCAAACAAAAATTTCAAATTTGACAAATAATTATTCGAATTCATACATCAGAATCTGTAAACCAAGAAAGATTATCTGTTGATAGGACAAAAAAATAATCTTTTGCTTGAAATAATTTAACACCCGTATGAACACGAAGGAATCCTTTACGGATAACCTAAAATTCAAAAAGTTTACACGAATAAAAAATGATTTATTACGAATAAAATATAAGCAATAATAGCGATGCTAAAAAAAATTTAAAATAAAATACAAGACAACGATTGTACAAGAGAATCTCTACTCAAAAGAATTCTCTAGGTCAATAACATACTTGACCCTATAAGAATAGATTTATATTTTGATGTTCATGTCAATCGAGAGGTTAACAGTGCAAAGTGAAATAATATTTTTAAAAAGCAAACATATCCTACCTGATTGGTAACAGTTCGTTTAGCTTCGCCAGCACTAACTGATTTCTCTGCTCTAAAAACAAAACAAAACAAAACAAAACAGTAGTAATAGAATTCGTCAACACTCACGTCTTTTGAAATGAGAATTTATTTTCAAAGTAGGAAATATTGTGAATTCTTTATGAGTATTAATATTTCTAGCCAATAGATATGTTTTGGCCAATCTAGATCTCTTTTGTAAGTATCGTATCAGCATTTATATATATATATATATCACTGTCCTGAACAGTATTTGATTTTATTATTCCTCGAAATGAGTACAAAGATGTTTTCTCTTTCCAATTCACGGATGAATATTACGGAGGGAAAGAAAAACTTTTGCTATTATGTTGTGACTTCAACACTGATTTAAATAAGACATAAAATATATTGAAGCTATTCAAAACTGAATTGGTTTTGTGCAGGACTTCATGTGAACAAAACTTGTACTTAATCGTCAATAGATGCCTGTAGTAACTAAGAATAATTCATTTCGTAATATTATATTAGCTACCTATCGCACTATCGGTATATAAATAGATTAGTAGAAGATATGAAAGATCTTGACAATTCAGCTAATAATAATAATAATTCGATGTAACTAAATCGTTGTGATGAGGAATCCTATTTAATCACTGGAGCTTAATTATCTGCAAGTTAACCGGGAGAAAATGCGAATCATATACAACTGTCATCACAATAGAACGAATAAAGGTAAAAGTTTACCCTGCAAATCCAATAAAATCTTCATTATTGGTATTAATATATGACAATTGAGTTTGAACATATGCTGAACAAGCTTGTTTAGTTGCATATTCTCGCTCGCGAAGGTATTGCGTTAATAATTCTTCTGTAGCTTGTTTTAACAGTGGATAACGTTTCATCTTTAATACGAGAAAGGAAATAAATTAATCTTGAAAATGAACAAAATATTAAACAGATTAAACATACTTTATTAGTTGCTTCATGAATAATAGAAAGTAATTCTGATACAACCATATCAACACATTTCATAACCGGATCTTCAAACTTAGATATTTGCATTTGTACAATATATTCAAATGCTTCATCGGGAGTGAATAAACCCGCTCTAAATAATTTAGAAAAATATTAAATCTAGTCGAACAACTGAGAAACAGTTCACAAACCGAAAACCACGAATATTTTTTATTGCAACTATTGTTTGATTACGCATATCTTTATCTTGTAATTCAGTCTATTAGGAAAAAAATACATATGATTTTGATTTTAGTTCCATGTAAGCTTTAAACTGTGACAGTAATCATTCATGCCACTATCAATCGGCGCATTAGTTCAGACTTGCACGTATAGAATAAAGGTGAGTGTACATTCATTAGAAATTTTCCAGTAAACAAAAGTCTATTTCAAGAAAATAGTTAAATTTGATTGAAACAGAACTAAACTATGAGAAGTAATCGTTCATTGAACGCGAGAAAAGCATCTATCAAAATTTGTAAAACAACTTTCATCTAGTCTCTAAAAACTATGAGTTCAAAGCAGCAGTGTTCAGACTTCCAAAAAAGGAAATTTTGGAAGTTTTGGAAATTTCAAGTACTTGTGTTCTAAATTGTTTGGTACTTCCCAAAATTATACAATTTCCGAAATTTCTGAAATTTCCAAAATTCTGTACAAAGCGAAATTTCCGAAATTACAGAAGATTCCGAAATTTCTAAACTTTCAAATATTTTCAAAAAATTTTCATTTGCTTTGCTATATAGTAATCGAGTTGATGGAAGCTTCGGAAATTTCTGTAATTTCCTTTTTCGGAAATTTGAACATACCTCGTTCAAAGATGAAACTGCTTTGATGCTTTGGTGGGCAATGCTGGCTCTATCTCTCCTAATGAAATTTAACTCGTTTCTTAAAAGACTTCATCGATTCGCGCAAAGACAAATAGTCTAAGACTACAATCATCTTATCATGTTTAAATTATCCTCATCGTTAGTCCATACGTACAGGTTTCGATCAGTACAATACTTAACAAAAAACCGATACAGTGTCACTGTTACGTCGCCAGTTTTTTGCCTACAAAAATTTTTCTTTTTTTCTCTTACTTTAACTAATTCAAATGGAAAGCGTTCACGAAATATGTTCGCAATACGTGCACCACCAGTTAATGTTTTTAAGTCAGATTCTTTTAAATGTGTACCTTGTAGTGCTGTATCAAAATTTTCATGTAGTTCATGTGCTAATCTAAAATAAATACAAAATACAAAATAAATTTCTTCTTTTTACTGGATATCTCTCGATTACCCGACAAGTGCTTTTGTATCAAAAGTTGATGAAGTCTCAAACATAGCTGATGCTTGATATTCAGCAACTTCTTTTGATAAATCACGATATCGGGATTGTAATTCTCGTTGTAGCTCAGGTAAACATTTAAGAATATGGTCAGTCAACTGAAGACTAAGTGAACGCTGTAGATATGGTACACCCAATCGATCAGCAATATCACTAAAGTAAAAACAAAGATTTAACTAAAATAAAAGACATGAAAATATTCTTTACCGATATGCTGGATCATTTTGAAAAAATTGACGTTCATTTTCTAGTGCTCCTGGAATGTCAAGTTCTTTTGATGTTCGCCCAAAGTCATCGACTCGTTGACCACGAAGCACAACACCAATAAAACCTATGTTGATCGTCATGATTAATTTATCTCTCCATTTTTTTTTCATTTACCTCGTTCAAGAACAACAACTTTATTCAAAAGTACTTCACGAGCATTATATCCTTTGCCCATCATATCAAGTTTAGTTAACACACCAATAGTACGTTTACCCATTGGATCTCGACTACGAGCCATAACTAAGGCATCGGAAGTAACAAGATCAATATTAGCTGGTGTAACAGCTAGAATAAGACAATTTTCATTGCTTATATATTCAAGAATAATATCATCGATTTTTTTCACAATATCAGCAGGTTGTCCTTGAGCTGCAACTTTCACCATGCCTGGTAAATCAACCAGAGTGAGATTTACAACTAAAAAATACATTTCAATTATAAATTATATGTTCTGATGATAATATTACAGTTAACATCAATGCAATTTTGAAGACTAATAGGTATAGAATGAATAGAAAATTCTTTTTCAATGAAAGTTTTTTCTGTTTTTAATTTACCCTCTGGAAAAAATAGGAAAGTAAAATCTATCAAAGTGTTTTTTTGGATATTAAATCATGCTTTAAACTTGTAGATTTAAGATGTTGTTATTAGTATTACTATTGAGTTGAATCTGAATATTTCGTGCTAAAACTCAAATCAGAAAATTCAACTTTGAATTAATTATCAATTTTGTTATCGTTTAGCTAGAATCTAAGTTTATTTTAAATATCAAGTAAAATAAAATAGAAATAAATACATTGTTAACAGTATAAGGCTGACGACCTATTAAAAATATTTACTTGAGACCATTTCACTCATAGTATTCATGTATAACAAATTCTATAGAATATCTCACGTACAATACATCTGAAGAATTTTATCATTGATAGCTTACTAAAGTTTCTTTTACTCAATAATATACGTTTCATGTGTTGAAGAAGAAAAACGCATAGACTAAATATATATAAATAGATATATTATTATTACCGTGTGGTGAAAAAATCGTTAAATTAATAGGTAAACTCGATACTCCCATGTTATCTCGTACAACAGCTTTAGTATCATTTTCGATTTCAGCTCGAACGTCAGCATAATTTATAAATCTTTGTTGTGGTTTATGGCCAAATACAGCATATTCTAATTAAAATGAAACAGAAGATTTAAATTTGCAATGCTCTATTTTTTCCGCATTACCTTGGCCTTGTGATGTTATCAGTTGCAGTACGAGTGGTCGTTTTGTAACCATATTGCCACCACGAGGCAGAAAATCTCTATGAAATAAAATAGGGGAAAACATAAGTATCATTGAAAATGTTTTCAAAAAGTTTTAAAAAAATACCGTCCGACAATATTTTCAAGTACAGAACTTTTACCAGCAGATTGAGCACCAACAACGGCTATTTGTGGCAGTGTTAATGTCAATTTGGCATTAACTGATGTAAATATATGTTGTAGTTGATTGATCATAGGAATTAATAACTCCATATCTTAGGAAAAATAAATTTTTTTTTTTTGATTCAAACTATTTTAAATCTTTACTTGGATTTCCTGCGTTATTTGCCATGGCTAGTTCTGAAAAAAATTTAAAAAAACAACATTATCTACGCGTATATCAACGATAAATGACGTTTGTATATTTTGTACAGCAAGGTTTAAGTATTATTTATGCACCTAGTAGATGAGTCAACTCATTTTTCATAATCGTATCGAAGTAGACGAACGAACGAATGAATGATCACTACTTTCGTAGTGATATGAGATTGAGTCAACTGTTATTTTAGTTGTTTATTTATTTGTTTTCTCGGGTATGATTTCCAATAGAACAAGAGAACAATCTAGATGGCGCTTATTTCAATAGGAAGGAACAATTCAAAACTTAAACATCTAGCAAATAAAACAAAATTGAATGGGCGAGATACGAGATACACACAGACAAATGATAGTAATAATAATTAAATATTCTATCAAACAAACAAAAAAAGAGTGAACGAATGAATCGGTAAGTGCGCCCGATTAGGTTGTATGAAACGTAAGCGAACACTTCGTATATATGTACATTGAAAAGTATGAATATTTTCTTTCCTCTTAAAACTTGAGTCATCGTTTTAAGTGTAGTACGAAAAAAAAGTCAGCATTTGTCCCACTACAACGGTTAAATAACAAATGAAAAGAAACGAATCGCGACATTTTTCAATGAGTACTTGCAACAGGAAAGTATTTACAATATCGACTTTAATACGCTACAAAATCAGCAAATCTGTTTACAAAATTTTCGTATTCATTCATCTGGAAAAAGAAACAAGATAGATCAATGTCATATTTTAAATGATGATTCATATAACCTGAAAATATGGATGGTCTATCACATGATAATTGATATTTCGAGTATGATTCATGCAAAAATGAATTTGCATGATTGAGAATTCAATTACTTATCTTTCTAATCAGCTCCATTCAGTTTTATGGCGAATTCGATATACACTGTATATATATACACAATTTCATAATAATTTACGGTTAAAACCTCTCTATTTGTTTTTATTGACACAGGTCATTATATAGAATTATCATATAATCGATTATATACTGCTACTTTTATATTTTATAACTATTGAAAATGATCATCGAGCTATTTTATTTTATTTTCAATTTAGTAAAAAGTAAAATTAGTATAAAATCAAATTATAGCATTTTTTTTCTTACTTATATATTTATGATTGACGATTCGTACATAATGTCACATGTTGAAAGAATTTTTAGACTCGAGCAAAAACAAAATTGCATACTTTATTGATTTATGATATGTTTCTCAGAATATAAACAAACTATTATGCATTTTCTGAGGAATTTTGATGAAATCATCAGCAGTTTCCATTACAGCTATTGTGATTACTTCATCAAATTGATACAGTTTTTAAGCAATTATATTAGGTTTATAAAATAAGAGATTGAACTGATTCAATCTATTCTTCGTCAACGAGAAAAATTTCACTTCAAAAATTAATCTTTCCATAATTCATTTGATGAATAAGGTAATTTTATTGCCGAAGATTTTCAGTTATAGTTTCTTTTTTAGCAATAGCTCTCCTGCGATTACTTATTCAAAAACTACTTGTTGATAATGAACGTGATTTACGACTGACATACTGATCAAGACACAATTGAATCATTTCTTGTTCTTATTCGCGATATGCCAATTGAGTAAAATAATTTAATCAAAAGCTAGAAGCTAAATCTATGAATGCTCTTTTTGTATATTTATATTGTAATTCATGTGAATTGGGATAATTTGGTTTTCAACAATCGATTTAGCATTACCAACGTGTCAAAAGTCTACAGAAGAGGCATTAATGTAATAAATTTCAATTTTTTATAAGAAAAACCTTAGTTTCTTGTCGGATCTAATATTTTGATTATTTTTTCTATCAAACAATTAACAGAAGTCACTAAAAAAATTGTCACTTTAATAGAAAGAAAAAAGCTTTGAAGATGATCAAGAGTACATACCCAATGATTGAATGCCTTTCCACTTGCTTTGAAAACTATATGTAGAAGTCTTTTGAAATCATCTAAAATTTAAATCGATTTATGCTCCTATCTGAACAACTACCGATCATGTTTGTTTTAAAGAGAGTAAGTCATTTTCAAAAAAATTCTAATATGCTGGTATGACTTGCAATCTTATATAGAAATACACTGGCTTAATGAGTTCGAGAATACTAAAACTAAAAATCTAGTTTGCCGACTTTTCCCGAGGATATGAGAATCTTCGTAGCTTTACCATTCATCTTTTATAAGTCAGAATCGTCGATACAAGTCTTTGTAGGCTTTTCATTAGTCTCACGTTCACCTCTGATTCCGTATTCTATGAAGTTGGTTGACGGTGCTTGAGAATTGAATACATTTCTTTGCAAAATGTTTATGATTAGGATCATTCTCCGAATAATCATCTACTGTTTTAGTAACAATAATTCTTTCACTAATGCTTATCGAATTTTAAGCTCAATAGCACATGAATCTATCGGCATCATGTTCAAAATTGATTCTTATAAAAGATCTACACTGTTGAAGAGATTGATTTCAAAATATAAAATTGGTTTTCATTCTATTTTGATCGGTCTTGTATCATTTATTCTTAACTGACTCGTAAAGTTTGTGAATCATTATTTCGTTATCGAAAATATTATCTCTTCCACTTAAGAAATTTTATTGGTATCATTCGGTGTCTTTTAAAACGATGAATCAATAAATCCTAATAGAAAAAAATCTTTCTTTGTTTCTCTATGGAACTCGTGATATTATTTTCTGCTTTTTTACATGATTTATCTGTCAAACATTCTGTCAATTAGAAACAAGTATGACAATAAATATAGATAAATTACGATATTTGAGATTAAAAGAACGAATAGTTTAATATGATTAATCAGAATGAAACTACGCTTGAATGTATAATGTAAGAGTACCAATATGTAAAATCAGTTTATTACTTGCTGATAGTGACATTATTATCGCTCAACAATAGAGATATAAGTATTTTCGAGTGCAATATTTCTCACAATAGAACAGTTATTGCCTAGTCTACATTTTTTTCTGATCAAAAAAGAATTATTCATAATTGCCATGGAAATATTTTCTTCCGTTCTTTTTCTTGGTGCTCAGTAATTCTTTGACTTTTTTCTTGTATTTTCAAGAATAATATTGATGCAGTCATGTGAAACAGTTGCATCAATATATTACCCTATGTTGCAAAATGAATAATAATGCATTTCGCGTAGATATTTACTATACATTATTGATAAGGATTAGTTGTCCATAAGAATTGACATCGGTCCCTGCTGTTTTTTTGCTTTTGTTTTATAACTTTGTATATCTAGTTCTAAGTAAATATTAATCTATTTTTAATTTTTAATCGTCAGTTCTTTATATTGGATTATTGCATGTTTTGCACTTATACTCAACATTTCATATTCGAAGTTCTATGATGCATTCTTTTTTCTCTCTAATCTCTATCAAAATATAAGAGATAAATAATTTTTTGATTTGTTTTTTTTCCTGTTTTAAAACACACGTCTAAACCTCCAACGAAACTATGGAGTTCACTTTCGAAAGTTTCATAATCGAACAAAACACAAATATTTATCTAGAATAAAATTTAATTGCACCTATCTTAAATGGTACCTGTATATGTCGAATCCATTAGGAATATGATAGTACATATTATTCAACAAATCCTTTTCAAAGATTGTTTTTCTTGTATTGAAATTTTAAATAACTCGCTTTTTTCGGATCCTTCTTTTCCTGAAATAACTTTTCAAAGATGATGATTTTTTTATCTCATTTTTCAAAGTAAAAAACAAAGCGACATATCTGTTCTTGATTTGACGAAATTTTACATTTAAAATAATTGAATGGTTGACACTTAAAATTATAGCAAAAATATTAAAAAAACAAACAAAAGCACAAAAATTTATACAAACATGAAATATTAACATTCAGATAGAATATGATCAGCGAAATTTTTTAAAATATCTAAATTAATTTCATCGCGAATTTCAAGTACTCTATGACCAAATTTTTCTGCGATTAAAATATTTTTAACATCATCATCTAATAATAAAATTTCATGTTGTTTTATTGTTTTGTTACGTTTGGTTGCTATTTCAGTAACAACAGATGATAAATGATATTCTTTTCCAAGAAAATCTTTTTGATTTATATTCGATATAAATTCCGGTGAATTACATCGTATTATAATTCGATCAGATTTACTGTAAAAACAAAACACAATAGAAGTTTCATTTTCAACTGCTTGTACAAAAAAACTTACGATGTTTTGAATGCTTGTTCGATTAGTTTTCGTATCAATTGTTCCTGTGATGAAAAAGATACAATACATACATGAAGTGTTTGATTAAATGATGGTGAATCAAGAATTTCTTGAATAAAATAATAAAATGTTGATCGAATATAATCTAATAAATTATCAACTGTTCCTTGATAATAACCACATGTATGTATGGATAATAATGTATTGTCAAAATCAATAGCGACAAGCTTTATATTTTTACGTTGTAAACATAATACAATATCTCGAGCTTTGGCACGTTGTTGAGCAACATATGTCGAACTACTTATGTGTGTTTGTAGACCATTTGAGTTTTTTCTGATTGGTTTATTTGAAATTTTGATTTTTGTCGGACTCATTGGTTGTAATAACATTATTTTATTTGAAGGAGGAACTCTAGTGACTCTAGACATGTTTACGATAAGATCAACTCAGCTGATAAATTGTATGACACGTATATATCGATGAATACGAGCAGAAGAGACAATTGATAAAACATCATTCACTCAAATGCATTCACATTTGCCTGTCTGACTAAAGGTAAACGTGGGGGCGATGTTTGTATGCAACAATATACAGCCTACATATTTCTCTTTCTTACTATAGTAAATGAATAAAAGTATGACAAACACACGAAATACAGCTCATTATAGTCAGTGGTGAACAATTGTTTTTGCTTACATCTTTACCGATCAAAGAAATATACAAGGCTGTTTTAGTCACGAACATTATCTTAGCCAAAAATAAACATATCATTTGCTCTCATAATTAAGAGCAAACAATATGACTATAAATATTTTATTTTCTTTCGTCTTTGTTTATTGGGGAAATAAATTTAAAAAACAGTTTCATTTCAATAATATTGATAAAATATCTTCAGGTTTCATGATACCCGATGAGCCAATAATAATCTAAAAAAAAGATGAAAAAAACATAAATATTTCTTAAGGTTTCTATCTCTCTCTCGCTCACTTGTTTTCTTATCTGTTGACTATATTCATGAATAAGTTGAATTTCATGAGGTGTTATCCCGCCAACAATAAAAACAACAATAGTAGAATAATCATTACTAGTTATACATGGTTTTGCATCACCAAAAAATCTATTTAAAAAATATTACGACTAAACATTATTATTCAATGTTTTCTTTCTAACCCTCTAGCAGCACTTTTAAAAAAGTCTGTAAAACCATCGAATGGTACATGTTCAATATCATTCACTAATTGTTCTTGTTGTATTGTAGAAACATTTGCTGAACCAGTTAAACGAGATGAAATCGATGATGATGGCAATCCAAAATTTCCATACTGTTTAAATAAATCAAATATTTGTTTAAGTAATGATTGTCGATAAGCTGGCTGTTCATCCGAACCATGAACAATAAGTGAACTATAGGAAATATCAATTGAAAAAGTATACAAACGATTTAATAGAATAAAATAAAAATAGAAACGAACTTAAGATATTTATAACGTCTTTTATAAGATAAAATTAAATCAAGTCTTTGATAGATTACATCAAGAACATATTCAATCTCTAATGAATATCCGAGAGCTACAATGAAAAAAAAATGTTCCAAATTTGTTTTAAATGACTGATACTTTTGTTACTTCTCATTTTTTCACGAAGTGTCTTTGTAAATGACGAATCATTGAGAATTTCTTTTCCTATGAGTTTCTTACAAAATACAAAAAAAGCAAGATATATTTCATTTTAAATATAAAATTATTTTATTAGCTACATGCGCACGATCTTTTTCTTCTTTACCATAGAAAACATCATTACCAGCAAGAGAATAGATATTGATAAGGAGAATAACATAATCAATTAATTTTAATAAACTAAAAATTAAAAATAACAGATAGAAATATCTAAAAACAAATAGAATCTACTAACCGTTCTTCGTCTGGTTTCATCAAGTCGTCTTTTAATGTTCGTAATATAATTGAAAATGGACTAGGACCAGCATTTGTTGTTAAAGCTTGTACAAGAATTCTTTCAAGACCAATTAATCGTTCAAAATTTTGATTCTCATCAATAGACTCCATGATTTGCATTAAACAACAAGATATGACTAGGAGCTCATAATTTTTACAGAGAACTTTTGGAGCTTGTCTAAAATACGACTCAGTAAAAACAAAGTACAAAACAAAAGGGATCGTGTTTTATTACCTGAACTTTTCTAAACAAGCACTGATAGCTGCAGTTGATACTTTGACAGACTTTATTTTTGTTTCCAAATTATTATAGATAAGAGACTCAAGAAGGTGAGTGAAAACATCTGCTGTTGCAACCTTGAATAATAATTAAAAAAAAAGAAATATTTCATAACTGTCGAAAAAAAAAGTTCTAACTCATGAATTAGACTTATATGTATTATGTTTATTCTAGTCAGGTTTAAATATCCAAAAAAACAACTTTCAAACTATATGTTAATCAAAGCAGAAATATTATATTTTAACAAAATTTTCTAAATAAATCTTACAGTTTCTTTTGAGAACACTGCAAGAATCGATTGTCGACTTTCGTCTCTGAAGTCTACCAGGAAAGAGACGTTGATAAATAATTTACTGTTTTCTTAGGTCAGCATATTACAAATCCTTCTGATTCAAAATCGAAAAATGATGTCAAAGATTTTTCGCCTAAGATAAGTGTTAATCTTAGAAATTTGTAATTAGAAAACAATGAGTGTGAATGTTCATCAATACTTGCCGATACGCGAACACGTTTATACGATCTCCAAAATTTAAATGTGAAGGATTTTACACTGACTCAAATTCACCATGGCATTTTGAATTTAAACTAGCTTTAGGACGGTATGAGAGTTTCAGATTACTCGAGACTTCAACAGTGTAACAGAGCTAATAAGATTGTTTCGTTTTATTGGCTGAATTCGTGTTTTCTGTACGGGAAATTCATTTACTTAGATAACTTATCCTATGAAAAACTTGTTCATATGTGAATTGGAAAACGATTTTAAAAAAGTTTAAAAACTTAGGATTCCCACATAAGATCTTTTTTCCAATATGTAAGTTCTGACGAAAAGTTCATAAGCAAAGAAATTATTTTATTATGTTAGCAAAATATTGAAGTATAAAAATATATTTTAGGCGCCAGCCAATAAAAAACCTGTTTTGACTATACATACTTTCGATTTCGAATAAATAATATTATCAAAAACTGATTCAGCATCTGCATTGCCTACTCGTCGTTTCATGTCAGCAAATAAATATGAATTAAAATCATTCTCGAATTTCGATCTATAAATGAAATAACACAATGACAATTTTTATTTAATTATTTTTATAAACTTACGATAGATTTTTTAGCAAAGCCCGTGTATCCACTTTGATATCAATCGTACGTTGATGACAATCATCGAAACTTTTTATACGTACATTAGGTAAAAAATTAATAATTTGAGCAAGTAAAGTATCTTGTTGATGAGATGATGGTGTTGCTAAATCTAAATGTCGATCAATTAATAGTAAAGCAATTTTATTTTCACCAGACTAAAACAAAATAAAAGAAAATTTTAAGAATAAAAGTGACCATACAATCTGATACTCTTCGTCGTTGTTTGACGTTTGTCATTTGTGTATATTCACGAGCAATAACATGACTCAATGGACCAAGTATAAAAATATCTTCACGTCCATTCATACTTGCCATTAAACTATTTAACATTTCAGCATGAACCTATAATAGACTATTCGTTTAAGTATACCAAAAAAGCAAACGAACTTTTATTCATTACTCGAATGGTTTTGATTTCATCCTTGTCGAATATAGTGTCTAATGATGTCATCGTCTATTATGAGACAGACGATATTTAGTTTTAAATGAATAGGAAACTTTTCTTTTATACTATTTACTTTAATTTTTTCATTGGAAAGTGAAGTCAGAGTTTCAATAGTTGGTAGCTGATATGGAATAAGAGTTGGTATTAAAAGTAATGAATCTGTTATGGAAATAAAAGGAAAATGCAAAGTTTTTCTTTGTAATATATCAATTAGATGTTCGTCCCATTCATTATTATGATCATCGATGATTGATGGTGAACTTGTTAGTAATAGAATTGAATCAAAATTTTGTTCAGTACATATGTCATTTAAACGATTTATTGGTATTGATTGTTGAAGAATGATAATTAGATGTGAATGTTTATTATTTTCAAATAAGTCCTTTAAAAAGAAAAGCAAAAAAAACAGATCAAATATTAAAAAAAAAAGTTTTATTTGTTTACTTGGTCATTGATTAGTTTTATAGTTGGACGATTTACTGAACAAAATAAATGTCCTATTATATTTGTTATACGCAACCATTCCAGAGTAATGTTATCAACTAAAACTAAAGCATCGGAACAAAGTTTACATAATGCGGCTATATGATACGCTTTAATAGTTGATAATGATATTGAAGTTGACATCAGAAATAAATTATTACTGATATAATATATTGAATATTAAAAGGAACAGAATATCATTTTTCTGAGATCGCCCTACTGTATTTTGACTTATGAAGTTTATCAACCAACGAAAGGTATTGGATCGGAGATGTCGCCTTTGCTCGTAGATAATAGCCTGACGAACAAGATTCCAGCGTTTATCAAGAAAGCTACTTGACGAAAGTGTAACTGTAGAAAAAGAGCATTGCGTTTCCCACAACCTTTGATATATGCACCTGAGTTAGATCAATTTGTGCAGAAGATGTTCTTATTCTGCATCTGCAGTAGAATTATAACTATTTCTTCTCCATTCACATCTCTGCTCAACTACTTATTTTGTTCATCATGAAATAAATCATACAAATAAATTTTCATTCACCTTCACTTAAATTCATTAATACTTTATCATGTGTCACTTTATTATTCTAGTAATTTCTACAAGAAAGAAGGCCAATTTTGAAATTACGTTAACTCTAGTCAATCCTATAATTATATGATTTATGCTTCTAAACACGGACATCAATATTTCAAGGAAAGACTTCTTACTTCTTCACATTTGCCATAAGAAATCGAAACGATTGAAAAATCTTACTCATATTTTCTTTATTGTGTCTACAATTTTGCTATGAGATCTATCTTATTTTATTTTCTTCTTTTTTCATGGATTATTTTGTTTGTTTCAAGTGTTTATTTGAAAAATCGATTGCTAAATTTGATCTTCAAGCCATGCAAGAAACTGAGAAGTGTACACAGAATTCTTTTAAACAACGTAGGAACTCTTGTTTTACATGCTTATATTTAGTGTACTATTATAAGAATTTATTTGTTTGATTAGTTTTTAGAAATAATTTTTTTATCAAAATTTGATAGAATTCAAAGACTCTGTGTGACAAGAGAATTTATTTTTTGGATTGTTAACTTTACTAACGTCTTTCTACAGCCTTGGCATGGCCATCAGTTTTTGATGATAAATGTGCTGTTTATATCATTCCATACTTTGAACTTTGTCTCAAGAGTATTAGTCTTAATGATGTGGTACATGCATAAAGTATGACGTTTAAAATAATTCATGATTGTTTAACTACTCGGTGTTAAATTTTATTGGATTGTCGAATGTCTCAAAATTTCTAAATCATTTGTTTTTAACAGCAGCGAAAATAACTGCACAATGAATATAAAGAGAGACTACCATTTTGACGAAATTTACTTTTGCAGAAAAACTGCAAAAGTAAATTCCGTATAGTCTAACCTTATGTTGAATTATAATGTCATTGTGTAATTACATTATAGCACTATTACATAGTGA